GGGGGGGACACATCGCGGAAAGCAGCCAGCTCAGAGAGAAAAAAAAGGGGGAGCCCGGTTGCAAGAAGCCTTCCCTGTGTAGCTCCACCTCCTCCTCCGCCCACGCCAACCTTGCTTGGCCTATCAAGCCCAGGCCCCCACTCTGCATTCAACATGCAGATGTGACTGTGTGAGTCACAGCAGGAACAGAGCGAACACTCCCTCGCTATTTTTCACATAAAAGCTACAGTTCTATTCTTGCTCTTTATGAAACAAAACTGAACCGATAATGCACAGCGCTTCAATTTCAAAGCAACTGCGGTGCAGCGACGAAAACAAGTCAACTCTGCAAGTCCACTACGTTAAAATGGCAGCAACACAATAAACAAGAATTAAGAAAATAAATAACAATAAAGATCAGAACATGCCTCTGAAGTACCATTTTTAAAGACTTGTCACACCTTAGCTGATAAAAACAGCACAATGAACAGTCAGCAACCAAATTTGCACAAAATGTAAGCTACTTTTTTTTTTTTTAACTTTAGTCCTGATGAGAACACCCAACTATAACACAGCCAAGACAACATTTCCCGCTTAGTGCAGCCCTGTGACCACGACTTCCTCTGTTTGACATTTTATATCTTTTGCACCAGCTCACAAGTGGCAGACACTTGGAGATATACTTTGTGCACCTTTACATGACAATATACATTTAAAAAAAAAATCTTCATGCACAGACAACATGATCCACCAAACCATTCATTGTATATGCATGCATGCTGGACCACTTGTTGGCAATGTCACTTTGTAAAGAAACACAACACACAAATACCTGTACAACTTATTGCCCTCGTGACACTAAATCTTCATTGACGTACGTGTGGGTTTAAAATTCTTTCTTTTTTCTTTCTTTCATGAAAACAAAGTTTTTCTATGCAGTTTCATTTTTTTTTAAGTGTATGAAACGTTTGATTTGGTGCAATGGTATTAGTCGGCCTAACAGTTTCTTTAACACAAAAGCTTGAGTAAAGGCTTTTTGTCCTGTCAGGTCAGACATGCATTATGTTGCTTTAATGTACGGTATGTGTGAGTGTGTAAAAAAAAAACATGGTGCACCATTATGCAAACACTGCAGGGTACAAAGATCCTTTGGTCTGGTATCAGCTCATTATGCGGTTGCGGACCTTTCAATTCACAGACAGCAGAGATTGAAAACGCATGTTTGTTGAGGAGAGGAACCGCGCACGCCGACATCCGACGAGAGTGAGACGAAAGAAAAGAAAGCGCCGTGAAATGAAATAACACAAGAGCGGCTAAAGAGTCACGGCGCTGTGAATCACAAATTTCTTGGAAAATGAAGGGGAGGAATGGTTGGCCGCCTATCACTCCGACTGCAGTGTGACTTATGTAAGAGCTTCTTGTGGGGGCAGCCTTCTGCTACATACTGCATTAAAAATAAGAGGGGGTGGGGTGGGGGTGGGGGGTGAAACAACCTGTTCCGACTTGTCATAACAGCCACTTTGCTTTTATGGTGGGAGTGCGCGTGTATCAGGGAGTCTCGCTTCGCCTACCCACAGATCGATGTGAAGCAGGAAGTGAAATGCAACCCGAGCTCATCGTTGAAAGTTAACTACAGGAATACATACAAAAGTATTGGGACACGGCACCGTCGGGAAGTGCACAGCGGAAAGCAAAGTGGTGTTTGTTGCTTTTAGAGCTTGTTGGGAAGTTGAAGTTGTTGGAGTGTGTCGGTGAGACATTTGCGGTGTCAGAGTTCGCTGATGTTTTGGCTGTAAAGTAGGGCCGACTGCCAAAGCTTTCTGAGCGGCGTGCTTCCACAGCAAACTTAGGTCTTTATGGACCTTCCACTTGGAAAAGAAAAGGATCTTCCCCAAACTGTTCCCACAAAAGTGGAAGCAAACGATAGCATTAAATGGCTTCCTAAAATTACAAATTAAGATTAAGGCATCTGGTCGGAATTTCAGATTGATTAATTGTCTCAAGACTTTTGTCCATATGGCATATATTAATTTGTACATTCGATTGACACTTTAACTTATTTGGGCTTTTACATTAATCCGTTACTATATTTATCAATGGGCAAAGGATTATGAGTCCAACCATCAGCTAACGCTCAGTTTCAGTATGATTTATCGCTTGGATATGCTGGCCAGTTATTTTTTTTTAGCCACCAACATGCCTGCAAACGTAATCAAACAAAACCCTAAAGTCCAGCATGACGTTCTCGGATGTTTTTTTTTTTTTTAACCACAAACCAATTTTTTCAATGCCATACTAAAGGAAAAGAAACATCACTCACATGGAAGCAGTTACATTTTCGAGTTTGGGGGAACACATCAAAGCTAAACAAAATGATGGTACTTATTTTTAAAATGTTTGTGTTGAGCCGAGGTAATCAGTTCATGAAACCTGGGAGGAGAGCTGTTTCTAATATTTAGACTCTCCCTTTAGCTATCGAAATAAAGAATGGATTGATCTTTAACTACAGTATATAGTATGTATACAGTTGGACACCACTGCAAACGGTAACGATACAAATGAGCACATTTTTAAATGAACGCATCTCGGAGCATGACTATCTTGCTACAAATACAAGTTTGGATACAATTTCTCTCGTGGGATTGCCAATATGAGAAGAAATATGTGTTATTATTACATGGGATTTTTGATTTTAGTAACTGCATGTGCAACCTGATTGGCAGCAGTGCCCTGACAAAAGGAAGCGAAAGCCAAATACCAGATGTAGTATAGAGAAGTTCAACTGACACAATGACAGTATATGTATTCGGCACTAATGTTGCACTCCTGGATAGCAGCTGGATGAAGAGAAGTATATATAGTCAGACAGACAGAAAGATAGACAGACAGAATGATGTCACATCTGACATCACCTTGAAGTATTAGTAGGAGTCAAAGAGGAAGTCAAGTCAAAAACGTTTCTTTACAATTACAGTATATGTTCTATCCGCTGCCACTAGTCTAAACACGGTACTCTCATTAATAATGTTTTTGTGGAGTATGAATTAAGCAGCAAAATCCACCCCTTTTTATCCATCTCGGGGGGGGGGCATTTTGCGACTTGCTGTCGACTGTTAACGACCAAATCATAGCTCACCTGTTTTCTGGGTTTGGTCCTGTGATGTTCGCTAGCTGAGCCCTGAGCAGGCTGGATTTTTGAACTTTGAGGTTCCACTAAGTGGATTTCACAGACAGTACCACTGCACTAGAAAGATGAATTAAATGAAAAAAGAGGTTTACCTTACATGAGAAAACTGTAGGGACAAAGTACACTAATTTGGCTGCTTGCATTAAATAAAGATGCAGAAGAGATGCAGAACTAGTGGTTAGCGTGTCTGCCTCAAAGTTCTGTGGTTCAGGGTTTGAATCTCAGCTTTTTTTGGGGTTTTCTCCAGGTATTCCAGCTTCGCCCTACGTTCCAAAAACATGCGTATTGGGTATGTTGAACAGTCTAAATTGTCCTTGGGTGTGAATGAGAGGGTGAATGATACATTTTCTATACAGTATATGCCCAACTGACTGACAAGCAGGGTGTACCCTGCCTCTTGCCCAAAGTCAGCCAGATAGGCTTCTGCATATCCGCGGCTCTAATAATGACAAGCACTATAGAAAATGGATGGAAGATAGACACTAATGTATTTGGTCAAATAATGGCCTCTGCTCTAACAGCTACATCATTCTAACAGTGTCATCCATTTCCACATATAAATGTTGGACGTTTATTGAGGCAAAGCACATATTTTATATCACAAAAGTTTCACTGCACACCACCCAATTTTTTTTTCTTAAGGAAAAAAAAAAGATACCCACTACAGTATGCTGAAATAATGATAACGTCGTCTTGATTTTAGATATCACAAATGTACGTAGTGTGAAATTTGGGCCGGTTTAGTACCTTCTCCCATTCAGTAGAAGAGCATTCAGTTGTTCTGCCTATCACGACACGTCACTGGCATAAAGAGCTATGATATGAATAAAACAGTGCTAAATTATTTGTAGTACAGTACATGCATATTGACTCTCTGATCCATTTGGTGAAAATGACTAATTTCCCACAGCACAGTGACTGGAAAACACACACCTCCAGCCGACTACTGTATAATGTGTCCTGATAGCATCATTATCACAACACACACTACCTGCAGAAGCGATGAGGCACATAGAAAGATGAACTTTACAAGAAGTTCAAACAAAAGGTGTAGGGGAAAAATAAGGGCTAAGAAAATAAACAAACAAACAAAAAAAAAACCATATGAAACCCGCTAACCAGATGCAAGTGTGTCTTCCTGGAGGGGTGAGGGGAAATAAAATTTGCAATGTTTTGGACACAAACATTTTGGGATACACTGATTTCGACTGAGACACACACGCGCACGTCGTGTCTCCTAGAAAATATGGTAGGGAATAATGTGACAAAGAGTTTCCTTTCATTGGACGATAGTGGCTGGAATACTCACATTGACATGTGTGGAAAATTTAGATTTTACAGTAGATATTTGAAAATGTTTTGTTTCAACGCAACTACACTGCCTAATAATAACAATTAAGGCCGGAAGTCTCCAGAGAGTGTCTAAAAACTGCAGACGCATGACGCGGAGTCCTCTTTAAATAGTCGGGACCCGCACTTGTAACTTAATAAGAGTGGCGATAGCGATGACATGACTGCATGGCAAAGGCAACTCACACACGCACGCTTCTACACTGTCAAGTGGATTACTGTGTTGTAACCCGCTATTAAAAACGAGGAAACACATTTTGTGATCTTCTTGGTCTTGTTGCAAGTGCATTTGCGCAGAGGATTCGCTACCAGCTGTGCTGCAAGGAGTCCCGCGCTCGGGACTGCAACTTGCACGAAGCGCAGCGGAGCGGACCGGCGCGGACGTGATGGTACCGCTGAAGTTCGTTACCTGTCTAATGAGCTGAATGAAGCTGGTCGGCCGAGCTTCCGGGGGCCCTCAAGTGTCCGCTGACTTTCCCAGGTGGAGGAATAGGAAGAGTAGGAGGAGGAGGAGGAGAAGAACCCGAGCCAGTGAACCGGGCTGACAGTGACTCTTGAGGCCGAGTAAGCAGGCGCCGCCTCGGATCCTCCTGCACACTCCCTCCCTTCCAGCTGCATCTGCGTGAGAGAGAGAGAGAGAGAGAGAGAGAGAGAGAGAGAGAGAGAGAGAGAGAGAGAGAGAGAGAGAGAGAGACTGCTGTGCGAGGTTAGGTCACAACTTTATTTCAGTACATTTCACACAAGTATGCTCGATTCCCCCTGAAGAAGACACTTGCCGATTTGATTCAGACATCAAGAAGAAAATGCACAATAGTGAACTTATTTACCGTACAAATGTCATAAAATTGTTGTTTCGCATTTGAGTGTTTGGCAAAAACACACAGTTGGGTGAATTGAAGATATTGTCAAAGTTTCCCAACATTTATTGAGCTACAAAGTACTTTAGAAAAATATCAGCGCACAAAATATGTCGCAAAGTATCTCCGCTAACGACAATGATGGCAGTTGATGATAATTCACTTGTATGAATGGCAATAGGTGGATGGATCCATAGCTTTGGACAGGTCAACTGCGCCTTCTGTCATCTAGTGCAGGGGTCCCCAACCGCCGGTCCGCGGACCGGTACCGGTCCGCCGGGCATTTGGTACCGGGCCGCACAGAAAGAACTTGCCTTAATTCCGTTTTATTTATTTCGGAATACGAAAGATGTTTTATTTTGAAAAACTACCGGATTCTCCGTTACATCCGTCTGTGTTACGCTTGACACACGTCAAGCCACGCTTCTCCTTCACGTGACCGATTACTTCAAAACAAAACGCGGGAGCTCGCAAAATGAGTCATGCTACCTGTGTGAGGCGGGGGGTTCTGCAGCAACGGCGACGAAAACAAAATTACGAAGTAGACTGGACATAAACCACACACTTGAGGTGTCATTGTCTCCTATTACCCCGAGATGGGACCGTCTGGTTGCAGAAAATTAAGCTCGGTGCTGTGGTGAGTCGTCATTTTCATGCACTTTGAATTTGCGTTGTATCGTATTTTGAAGGCATTAAACATTGCTATAGCGATCGGAGTGTTGCGGCCAGATTAGACGCTCCTTGTGTTTATTATTATATTTCGAAAACGCCACAGTTTTCATGCAGCTCATACCAAATTATTTTGTTGTATTATTTCCGCCACACCTTAATTGCCGGTCCCTGAAAATATTTTCTGACATAAACCGGTCCGTGGGGCAAAAAAGGTTGGGGGCCCCTGATCTAGTGGAAGAACACAGATTCAAGACACCCTGTAGCAGATGCAGGAAAGCAGCCCTGGAACATAACAGAGCCTCCTTCACAGTAGGGACAGTGTTCTTTTCTTGTTACGCTTCATTTTTGCATCTGTGAACACAGAGTTGGTGTGTCCTTTGAAAAAGTTATAGATTTGTCTTGTCTGTCCACTGGACAATTTCCGAGAAGCCTTGTGAATTGTCAACAAGCAGTTCGGCTAATTCTAGTCTCTTTTTTATGATTTATTTTTTAACTGTAGTCACCTCCACGGTTCTCTCCATGAACTCTACTTTGCCTCAAACAACGACTGATGGTGCAATCTGACACTGATGTGCCTTGACCTAGGCATTCACTTTTAATTTATTTGGAGGTCGTCTTGGGCTCTTTTGTTCACATTTCTCATATCCATCTCTTCAATGTACAGTATCAATTTTCTTCATGCGGCCTCGTCCAGCTAGGTTGGCCACAGTCACGTGGATTTTAAATTTCCGAATATATGCAACTGCAGTCACATGAACATCAAGCTGCTTGGAGGTAGTCTGATCACCTTTACCTTTCAGGTGCTTGTCTTTAATTTTATTTCTAATCTCCTGAGATAACTTTCAAATTTGCTTCCTCTGGTCCATCTTTAGTGTGGTACACACCATGTCACCGAATAGCACAATGACTACTTCCTACCCTTTAAATCGACCGAGTGACTGACCACAAGTTTGAAGACACCTAATTGGAAGACACACTATGGCTATCTCTATGGTCAAATGATTTTGTCTTTTCTAGGAGTACCATCATTTTTGTCCAGATGAGCTTCATTCATTTATTTATTTTTTTAAATAATTCTGTTGACCAAAAGTCAAAAGCAGTGTCTGGTTTCAGTTGGTTAATTTTGATTATATCCTCCTGACTACCAGGAAAAAAAATGCTGTCCAATCACATTTATTTTGACATTCCCCAATCTATGTGAAGTAATTGGATTCCTCCAAAAGAATTTTTTGAAATCCCACTAAATTTTTTAAACAGGCTCAAATACACTTAAAACAACTCAAACGACACTTTAACGTGTTCATAACAGTCTTATAATTAAAATGCCAACAGCATTTCAAGACAAAATGTGGTCGATAAAAAGTATTACTTTTCCTCTTCCCATAAAAAGTGCTTGCACTGAGGGAAGCCATTTTCTTACTTTTTCTAACCCCTACAAATTTGGTATCATTGGAAAGCACTGAATGTCCTCTTTAGAGTAACAAAAGGAGTTAATGCGATTGGAGGCACTGGGTGGGAGATATTTAGGTTCACAAATGTCCTCAACAGAGGACAAATTTGAACTACTGGTAGTCAGGAGGATATGACTTTTGTCAGATTCCAGTTATTTCTGTGACCACAGTGGGTTTTTCTTTCATGAACAGAAGAATACCAACAATGTTGGCAATTTGCAAGTTTAATGTTAGTTCAGTTTTAGGTTAATGTTTGATCATTCTTGTTTTATGGTAAATAAAAAAGACATTCACTTGCAATGAAGATGCATTTTCCTTGTCAGAATATGCTGAATCAGGCAAATGAGTGTGCAGTGTTCATTTTTGAGGAAATACAACATAAACACAACTGACAAGCGGATTAGGACATCACACAGAAAAAAAAAATCAAAGAGGAAGTTGAAAACACGTTTGTGAAGCTTAGTGAAATTGATAACAATATCTTGATCTGTATATATCGCTGGACTTTTGGTAAGTAAATCTTTTATTTTTTTCAATCGAAGCCTCTTTAATGTCATTTGGCTGAAATGTTCAGCAGGTAGTCAAATACTCATGTCTCAAAAGACGTCATAAGATTCTTCTAGGCTATAACTCTACATACTGCATTAAGTGAGCGTTCCCTCTTGTGCCATGGTATAGTCTATCACCAACCCATGCGAGTTGCAAAGTCAGAATTACAGTGATATTTGCATGAAAATTACTTGCAGTCCATAAATGAGTGTGGCTTCTTCTTTTGGCACGTGATGACATGTTACCCCGCAGGGCAAACTACTTCATTTCATGCTGTTAGTGTTGTATTGGGGACCATCGTAAACTTGTCTCACAAGCCCACTTAAGAGCTACTTACAGTAGATAGCTATTGAGTTCACCGAACACCATATAACCTACTTTGTAAAGGAACAGCCTTGTAAAAACAAAACAAAACAAAAAAAAAACATTAAAACATTCCACTGAGTCAGCCATCTTGCCCTCATTATACTTTGGCAGTTGTCAAACAACAAACATGACAGTACTAACACTCGAGGCTATTTCAGTGTTTCCCAGCTTTTATTGAGTCAGGGCATAAATTTTATAATTGAAAGATCTCATGGCACACCACCAAACAAAAACTGAAATAATGATGCTTTTGTCTCAATTTACTTCCAAAATGACGTACTCGGTGTGTAATCTGAGCAGATTTAGTTCAACATAAAACTGCTATACTCACAGGAAGTGACAACATAATTTAAACTACTGCACGAATGTCAGCTAATGGATAGACAGATTTATTATACTTTTTGTCATCTAGTGGAAGGGCATTTATTGTTCTGTCATGATATGTCACTGCCATAAATAAATGAACCAAGTTGCATCTGTGATGTAGGGGTTACAAATTTAATTAATCTGAGACCATGGAACACAAAACACTTTCCCCACTGAAATGAATGAAAATGCAATTAATATGTTGCAGCTGTTCCTTCTGGTGTGGGTGCCTTGGCCACCTGGGAGCAGTATAATACAGCCATCGCTTCTCTGTACTGCTTTTATTCTCTCGGGTTATGGGTGTGCTGTAGTTCATTCTAGGTGATTTAGGGCGGGAGGCACGATAGACCCTAAACTGGATGCTAGACAATTGCAGGACACATATAGACAAACAACCATTCACACTCACATTCATACCGACAAACAATTTAGAGTCTTCAATTAACCTACCATGCATATTTCCCCTCATGAGCTGTGGTCATATTAGTCTCTTTGGCAGCAGATAAAAAATATTTCTGGGAGTAATGTTATGATTAAACTAAGTGGCCATGAGGGAAACGTATACGCTAATTGTTTTAAAGACACTCTTTGTTACAGTAAAGCCAACCTGGGAGGTGGCTAAAACAGCCTGAAGGCTGTTAAAAAAAAACAAAACAAAAAAAAAACTCACATTCTGCTTACCTTGCTGCTTGCTGGCAAGTGCTTTAAGTTGAGTTCAGCCAATGCCTCCATACAACATTTGTATCACAGATTTTAAAAAAGCTCACATTCTGCTTACCTTGGTGCTTGTTGTCAAGTGCCCTAAATTGAGTTCAGTCAGTGCCTCCATACAGCGCTCATATCACAGATTTTGGCTTGCAAGTCAAAGCAGGAGTTAAATAAATAACAATTTTCGTTTCAATTAAGTGAAATTGGATAATTTCTGGCAGCACTCTGGATGATAATTCACGACACGAACAATCCAAGGTCTAGTTACTCATGCTGCGATCAAGCTAGCCCAAATTCAAAATGCACATAAATTTTACCTCACAAAGGCCCGACGCAACATTTAGTTCCAACCAATAAAGAGTCAGGAATTTGTTATTTTCTTTGTAAAATGAGTGTCGTATAATAGCCGCAATATTCCCATTCCCATTTAAGAAGATGCAGAAAGAGTCACGCACTTTAACATAGCCTGTTTTAAACTGCTGTGATTAAAAAAAAAAGTTTTATTTAGGCTACTACTGTATATCTAACAATACAATATGATAACCTTTTAGTTTTCTAAAAATATGTCCTGCTCTTGTGCAAGCATTGAGTAGTTTTACGCAAATTTGACATTGCAGAGGCCAGCATTCACTTAATAGTGCATGCTGAGCATGTAGCCATTGTGAGCACATCCCGTAATGAGGTACGGTGACAACAATAGAGCCACAGTGTGTGTGGAAGCACGATTTCACATTCCAGTGGCTACAATGGAGACGGATTAGACGGCACAATGAGGATGAGGCTGGCTGGAGAGGATAATAGCGATGGAAAACATGTGGGTGTCAGAAAAAAGCACGGTCATTCAGGTCGGGAGGCAAGACTCGGACGCTCGTGAAACAGTTTAGCGGTTAAAACTTTCCGTCGGCTTGACCCCAATGAGCCGTGTTTTGAAATAATCGCTGGCCTGATTTGAGCTATTACAAAATGTATGACAGCGCCCTGGGCCTACAGCGCCACCTAAAGGCTCATGATGACACGGTGTGGCTAAAAAGGAAATGCATTTATACAGGAGAGGGGAATCCGTCCAGTATATCTGTTCTGAAGATTATGCTTCCCCGCCATTTTTTTTTCATATTCTCAAACTATCCTGAACATTGTCAATACAAATGTAGATTAAAAAAAAAAATTAACATACCAAAAATGAAACAATTTATCAATTTAGTTCAAATTGTGTATACCATCGGTGGGATGACATTTGTACTCAAGGGCCATGTTCAATTTCTAAAACAGACATATAGGCCAGGTCTTTCAAAGATGAGGTTTAAAAGAAAAGCAAAGTTAAAATGAGACAGTGGATGTGTTTATTTCTATTTTCTTAAACCAATAATGTAATTTTAAAAGCGTCTATATTATATTCAATGTATTGGTTATTTTATGACAAGATTTTTTAACCTCTGGTAACCGATATTTTTTTCTTCACAAGTACCTCTTTAGATGCATAATATTGTTGACCTACCCATATCGTATGTACACAGCAGTCAGGATAATTTTGACCACTTAGGAGTGGGCAGTATCTATTTTTTGTGACCACTCCTTTTTAAATCACACATTCATTGGTGAAAATTTGGTAATTACTACCGCTATTCAAAATAAATACATAAATAAATAAATAAAATCAGTCAAAGGTCACAATCAACACATCGCATTGGTCGAGATAAGCTAGAGGTCGCAAAGTGATGATTTAACCCGAGATCATTTCAACAAATTTAATTCAGAAGTACACATACAAGTGGTAGCCTTAATCAGTAACCAAGAAGCAGCCGTTTCAAAAAGGTTGCTGACCTATTGTAAGGGCACTCGAATGCTGAAATTTCACGGTTAGCCCACTGACAATAAACTTCTGACATTTTATTCATTTGTCTGTACCACAAGATACACTAACACAAAACAAATGAAAAGCATTACCAAAGAGAATAACAAAAGGATACAATACAAAGTTGCTTTTACTGCTCTTGTGGGTCATATTTGTCTCAGTACAGTTATGAGGATAAGTAGTGAGAGGATACACTTTTTAAGTCACAAGCGTGACTTCACTAATATGTTTTACAATCTCCACGCTGTGACCACTAGTTCGAGATGTTTGCTGAATGCAGACTACACTTGGACAACATAAAGAACAAAGGCAACCATTGCGGTCATAACATAATTCCCATACGTATGTTAAACTTGAACTTTAACGTATCACTTCACATCTGCACCCAGCCGACCAACAAAAAACTACAGAAAACACAATATGTCTTGTTCCTGCAACAAACTTCAAATACACCGAAAAAGGCAAACTTCTTCTTCAAGCATTGTGTGTGTGTGTGTGTGTGTATGCGCACGCATGTGAAAGGCAACAAAATAAATAAAAACAAAATGGCACAGAAAATTCGACAATGCGAATGGGAATTGGAAACCTTGGGAGGAATATAAACAGCACGACAATTATCTTAAAGCCAGGAAACGGCTCGTGAAAGACAAATATGTGAAACCAACAAAAAAATATTTTTTTTCAATGGAAAAAAAAAAAGAAGCAGGGGAAATATGGAATCAGAGAGGGGAGGAAGATAATGACATCTTCGAGTCAATATAGTATTTGTATTTACAAACATTTACACGATCGAGGTACCAACGCATTGAAACAATTGATAACGTGGTGCTCATGAATCCAGCGCAAATAGGAGTGTGCTGGATGGTGGTACATGCACGCCATTGAGAAGACGCGAGTAGCCCGTTAGCAAGCAAAGTCTATAGCGTGTTGACTAACAATGGACCCAAACGGCTAAAATAGTTTCAAAATCCACTGTTTCCTGTGCCACGATTGGTTCGCTTGATGCCAGACAAGGTTCAGAGTTCATGGCAAACCCATCCAGCAGAAAGGTTCCTCTTCGAATGAACCGTTAAAAAGTGTTTCACTCTACAATGCAATTAGCAGAACAATCAGAATGTATAATGCACTAAATATAATTTGATGTAAACATCACAACTCATTGTTTATCGTATCAGTCACATTATTAGCTCTACTTGCCATGTTGATAGCATCTTTGTCCTTCCTTAAGGCATAGGTATCAACAGTTCACTTTTTTTTTAATTTCCTTAAATAAACCAGATTTGTTGGTCGCAGTGTAGTTATAGGATCTCCTCCACGCCGTGCGCAAAGATCATGACCAGACCGGGCTCCAGGATCATGTCCTCCCCCATGTGCTGGTTCTCACAGGCCATCACCACCACCGCCTGCTTGCCCGGGATGCGCTTGGCCACGTAGTTCTCGTAGTAGCGCCGATTCATCTGCCGCGTCTCCAGTGAGGCCAGGCCCTGCGGCCAATTGCGCTCGTGGGCGTTCTCGATTAGATCGTTGACGATGGAGAGCGGGCAGCCGCTGTCGATGAGCGAGCGCTTGATGACGGCCTGCAGCACGGCGTCGGGGGTGGAGATCATGCCGCCCCAGCGAGTCACCCTGGCGGGCTGCATGGAGTTCACCCACCTGAAAAACAAGCCGTCGATAAAGGGGGGCTTTCGCAAGCAAAACGCTCCACGGATGCGGTTTATGTTCATTCTCGGTGCTCTTCATTCGGTCAGGTGTGAACATTCTTGAATTGAGGCAGACCAAGTCAGTGCCAAACAGACAGCAGTTGGATTATTCCATCAAAATAGGAGGAGATCATTGGCGAGATCAGGGTATGATCGTGTTGGTCAACCTCGTGATCATTTTCACCCTTGACCCGCAGAGCTTCAATAGTATTTTCGGTTCGGTGGTATTGTCTTGGATGAGAATGGTTCACGGGCATTCAAAGTCGGTTTTGGCCTTGCCGCTTACGTGCAGTGATTTCTCCCGATTCTCTGAACTTATTGATGTATTTTATTATTGTATATATTAATATATAATATATATTATGTATATATTATTAATATTTTGATTTGATTTGACTTTTTATTTGGTCTCCCATAGGAGAAACTTGTCTTGGAGGACAGGCCCCCCATGCCGCTACATACATTGAACAATAAATACATACAGTATACAATACACAACAGACATTGGACAATAATACAATACAGGACATATACTCAATACAGAATATATACTCTACATACATTATGGACGGTAGATGATGAAATCACAAAATTCCTGCCAATTGTACATTGAGGAACACTGTCCTTAAACTGTTAGAAATATTTTCTCACACAGTTGTTCACAAAGAGGTGAATCTCATCCAATCTTTGTTTGTGAATGACTGAGCAATTAAGGGAAGCTCCTTTTATACCCACTTATGGCACCCATCTGTTCCAAGTTAGCCTGTTCACCCGTGCGATGTTCCAAGCAGGTATTTGATGAGCATTCCTCAACTTTCTCAGTCTTTTTTGCCACCTGTCCCAGCTGCTTTCAAACGTGCTGCAGCCATAAAATTCTATCACTTGCTAAAAACAAAGTTGATCAATTTCAGCATTAAATATCTTGTCTTTCGAGTGGATTCAATTAAATATAGGTTGAACAGGAGTCGCAAATCATTGTCTTTTGTCGTTTAACACACTGTCTCAGCTTCATTGGAATTGGCTTAACACATTGGTGTGCTGGATTGTCCATGTCTTTATAAATGTGTTCTATTTTTTATTCTTTTCTAAATAAATTAACTTTCTACAGTTGTCCTAATTTATCGAGATGCAACTGGACTTTCATGGCATGTGGCTGTTAGCCACAGTAAGGAGGTAAATGCTATTTGAGACCAAAGTGGAGATTGTCAGCTAAGACAAGAGCGTAAGCTCATCATAGTATAGTCCAGCTAAGCATCCACAAACATTCCAATGACAATTCATCTCGATCAATGAACGAGTAGCAGTGGTTTACACCAACGATGAGTTATTGTTTCATACTGAAAAGGTCTGAGGAATAGTACCTGCTTGTGCTTATGGAAAGGCATAAATAGCGAGAAGAGCCGTATTATCGCCGCAGTCGTGGAAATGGAGCAAATGTGCTGAGACTTTTCAAGCTTTCGGTAAGTTTGAGGCGGCGAGTTCAGAGTGAGAGCAAAGAAGAAGAAGGCACTTACTCCAAGATCTCATTGTACTCGATGGTCTCCTCCAGGTTTTGTAGGTTGGGGTTAGCGCTGCGGATGGCACGCATGTACGCTTTGAGCAGCTGAATGTCTCGCTTCTGGAGTGGGAGAATGCCACAGTGAGTAGGCTATAACACAACACTTTTAACAGTCATTAGGTCATAAAGTGACCACCCACTGACGATACGTAACTCTGAATTTGGACTTGCAAGCACAGAATAGAGTACTGTAAAGAGCCGATGCTTGGGCTAAAACGTCTGCTGGCACCGTTGTTCAAGCGTTCGCAAAAGTCGAAATCAATTCTGATGAGCGGCAACGAGACTGACTCTGACAATGACACGACGGAACCTGGCGTGTTTGATTGTGAACTTGCCCAATAAATAGAAATATTTACATGAGCACGGTGCGTTACAAAGTACCGTAAGACACTGAAGATGACAACTGCATTGAGTAAAACAGTAAAATTACATCAGCACTGCAGAAAATAAATATCCACACATCCCTTATAAATGAATAAAAACGGATTTGAAATGAAATGAAATAGGCGGCTCGGTGGACCAGTGTGTAACGCATCGACCTCACAGTGCAGAGGTCATGGGTTCGATCCCGGTTCCGGCCTTCCTATGTGGAGTTGGCATGCGCTCCCCGTGCCTGCGTGGGTTCTCTCCGGGTACTCCGGTTTCCTCCCACATTCCAAAAACATGCATGGCAGGGTGATTGAACACTCTAAATTGTCCCTAGGTGTGAGTGTGAGCGCGAATGGTTGTTCGTCTCTGTGTGCCCTGCGATTGGCTGGCAACCGGTGCAGGGTGTCCCCCGCCTACTGCGCAAAGACATCTGGGATAGGCCCCGTGACCCTTGTGAGAATAAAGCAAAAATGGATGGATTGATGGAAATGAAATATTTCAATCGTATTTTGAATTGACCTGATCTACGAAACCGAATAAAAAAATGTTCTGGGCTGAAAAAACATTCACTATGAAAAGAACATTTAAAAAAGTAGTTGCGTCTTCAAATGAACAACTGAAATGCAAAAATTCTCCTTTATCTGTCGCAGAGACACCAAATGAGTTTGTGAGTATAGGCACCAAAGTGACATTTATAGCAGCTCCTAAGAACGACTATTTGTTTAGTGCTTATGAAAGACACGCGCAGACGCACTTACTTGTTCGCCCAGCTGGTGTTTATGTTCAGCCACAGTTTTCTCCAGATCTGAAATTTTGCTCTGCTGCTGCTGGACGACACTTCGCAAGTGTTTGATGCAGTTATGGTTGGGCAACTCGTCTTTGGGCATCTCCAGGCTGCCGGTGGGAGAAGAAAGAACATGAGTTACTTAGTGCTTCTCAGACAGCTTTGCATTGTTAAGAATTTATTTTGTCATGCTGCATTTGCATCGGATCATATCCGGACAAGCAAGGGTTAGCTGTGTTATCAAGACATCTAGAATCAATGGTGGATTTCACTACATTATCTGACTTAATAGGTTTATGGCGGGGGTGTCTAATTGAATCAAGTGTGCTGGAGGGGGGAAATATCTAAAACGTGCAGGATAGTGGCCCCTTTGGACTGGATCTGGAAACACCTGATCACGAAGATCATTCAAGTGGACAGGAAGTGCATCAGATGAACAGAACGCCAGCCACTCACCCACAGCCCTCCTCACAGTTGACGGGCCGTTTGGGGTTGTGCTCGCAGTCCTTGAGGTGCGACTGCAGCTGGTCCAGTCGAAGCGTCGCCGTGCAGCCGAAACTGGCGTTGTCACAGCTGATCTGCAGCTTGGACAGCATGTTGCGCATGATGCGTGGCACGGGCCGCAGGTGAGCAAGCGTCACCACCGTGCGGTCCACGGGACAAATCTGCTGCTGGGCGAACCACTGCGTGATGCAGGCATTGCAGAAGGCGTGCTCACAGTGGGGGGCCTGAAACGAGAGCACAGTAATTTAGCCACGTAGACGCTTCAGTTGTTACGTGGGGCAATGACGTGATCTTTAGTGACATCTCCATGACATGAGATTGAAAAGCCTCGTCTCATTTCCCCAAAATATATATTAGTCCTCTCGCTCCTCTGAGATAATAAAAAGATGAGTCCCAACTATGTTCTTGGCCCCGGCATGCCAAACCACATTTACTTCTGCAAACACTACGTTGTGAGTGACGTTCTTTTGCGCAGACGGGTCACGTGGGGGACACATATGTTCACACACCAGACAGACGGAGGTCGCATCTAATATGTAATGTGAGCCCCCCTCTGACACACACACACAGAAAACAATCGGATTTCACCCGAAAATCCAAATTGAGCATTTAGGCCTAAGGCCTGCAGTGTGAAACTTGCCCAAAAGAGAGCCGGTAAGACTCCACACTTTTCATTCATCTGAGAGACTGTTTATGCAACTCACAACCAGTGAGTCATGAGGGCCTCCTGTTTTGGTGAGCGCCAGCGTGAGCAACACTTTAGTCAGTATGCAAAACAGCTTCACTGCACTGCGATAATTACAGTTACCATTCTTCCTTTCGGTGGTGTCTATTTAGAAAGAGGACAAGTGCAGGACACACCCGGCAATTGATAGTCGAGACACAACTCTTATTAGAATGGAGGCCAATGTTTGATGCAAAAGGGTGGTTCTGTCTGCAAATGGATCCTCTTCCTTATGTGCATAATGGACCAAATGCATGGCAGGACATTTCCACTGCAATTGTGTGACACCATACATGTTTTTTGGTCTCTGCTTGTTTCAAGCTACTTGGACGCCCTCTGGAGGAAGAATAACCTCAATATTTAACTGTGTGTTAACCTGGGTTTGTGTGATACCTATATTCAATATTCAGAGCTGGTGCTTTCAGGGTGGAAATGTCATCTGAATTTGCAACTTTTCAACTCAACATGTCTTTATTTATAGAGAACTTCAAAACAACCATTACTGCAAACAAAGTGCGGTACATGGAGTAAAAATCAATCATACAATAACAAAGACGGTGAAAACAGTAAATTAATGACACTAATTCATAAATATATATTTTTGTAATTAATAATGAACAATTAATGAATCAATTCATCAATCAATTAACACTAACAAATACAGCAGACACCATGAAACACTTCACAAGCCAAATCTTATGTTGAATCAGAAGCCAAAGAATAAAAATGTGACGAGTTTTAAAAATTAGCAGAGAGGGAGTTAGACTAATATGTAATGGAACGTCATTCCTAAGAGAAGGACGGGAAACAGAAAAGGCTCGATCTTCTCCGAGCGTCCGCTTAACCCTCTGTACCTACAGTAGCATCTGCTGCGCAGACCTGAGGCCCTGGGTAGGTGCGTAGAGGTGGGGGAGCTCAGAGAGGTAAAAAATTTGGAAAAAAATAAAACGTTCAAATTTAGTTTCAAATTTCACCCAAAAGCCAAAAATCAACATGGCAGGAAGGAAGGAAACACCATGTTTTCTTAGGATAGAACCTAGGGACAGTAAATACAGTGAAAACAGCAGGGGGCCCAAAATAGACCCCCGTGGAACACCGTACAGCAGAGAAACAGAGAAGCACTCAGACAACAAAAGATGAAGGAATAGTTCCTCTAGCCAACTCTGTGGTGTGCTGGCCATTATGTTGAGCAATTCAACGCAGCTTTTTATTTGAACATGTTTACCAGTGAGTCATAGGAGATGGAAAGTTTAAACTGTCCATTTGACGTGACAATTTCATGTAATCAATTAAAAAAAAAAAAATCCGCGACCATAGTCTGGCCATCTGTTTCTCCGTGCTCGCCTACCCCACAAGCATGGGAAGATATTGTCCACTTCTTCACAAAACTGGTTACGAGAAACTCTCAAGCTGTGTGATCATTTATCCTCATCCTGGATTCAGTGATATGTGTTTGTCATTTGTATTATTTGATTATTGGTTGTCTTTTATGTTTTCATCAACTCAATATTGCTGCATCTGAACCAGAGACCAGGCTTTTTATTCCATTTTATTCACTCTTTTTGTAGAGCACTTTGTGACAGTTTTTATGTTCTATAAACACATTTGAGTTGACCCTCTCAAAAGAAGCCATGCAAGTTTATGTACACACAAACCTGCAGGCACTGTGAAACACCAAATGTCTCTTGAAAACAGACATGGTGCATTGATCGCTTTGCCGAAAGATGCATAAGTGGAGCAATTAGAAAGGTAATACAATACAATACATCTTAGGTTATACGTCATTCACAGTAACTTGACGTCATTCCAGCAGAAAGCGAGTATATTTTCAGCACTGATAAATCAGCATCAAATATTGATACTTTTGCTGTGTGAAAAAAAAGCACAGTACCGTACTTTATTTAATTTTGAGATCACGAACGACATGCAAGAATGACTTTGCAGTGTGAAATAAGAATACATCGTTAGGTTGCACAAGAAGGCAAGCTCAGCTACCACCATCCTGACGTTTTTTATTTGACTCCTTTATATTTTATGGCCGAGAAGTGTTTTTCATACAAAGCATAAGGTGGTTAATATTTAGTGAACAAATGAAACAAAACAAGCAAACAACTACATGTCAACATCATCGGCACAGATGTAAACAATTATAAATTTAAAAAATACCCAACGTTGTTGGCATCTTGTAATAAAAAACAAAAATCGGAATGTGGGTCACTTGCATTGTAAATCCAGCCTTAGTTGAGCTACTCCTCCTCTAAACTGCATGTAAATATACCGAGTGACATACCTGCACTGGTTCTTCGAGAACGCCGCTACATATGGGACACAGTAGGTCTTCATCCACCTCCCCTTGGAACCTCGTCACGTCATAGCCCATGGTGCATCACTTGCACGACCACCTCCTATCACATAACGCTGTTTTTATAGCCAACTTAAGAGAGGAAAAGATAGCAGAGAAGACAGAAAATGACAGGCTACCTGACTCACAAACAGCCTTGCATGATTTCATTCAGCTGGTGACTGGGCAAGACCTTTTGACCGGCACAAAGATGCTGCTGCTGCAAAAACAAAAAGAATAAATAAAATAAACCACACACACAAAGACTACCAAACATCTCTTGGGCTATTTTGGATTTGATTTGTCATCCTACAGACCTACACGTTTTTCTTTAGGAAGTACTACCATCACTCTATTATTTTTAACACAAAACACTGAAATGCTCATTGACAATCCAAGAAACATTTGAGTCGAAAATTACTTTGCACAAAAACCGCCCAACAAATATTTTAGAACTGTGGCCAAAAGACTCAAGCTTGCATTAGAGGGTGTGTACAACCAGCTTATTGTCATTGTTTTGTTCCTGTTTAATTGCATAAAGGGAGTCTTTGGTTGGCAACGTCATGCGCAGTTACGTGGTTTATTTTTTTTTCAAGGTACAATGAACAAGCTTTTTACTGTTTATATTTTATATAAATGTAATATATCAAGGTTCGGAACATTAGTTTAGAATTAATTCGTTTGTGTTGCGGCATTATATATGTTATACATGTTACGCCGTTTATAAATGTGACTTGACTTTTCCAACTAACATTAAAAGCCGTCGCAGCCGGAGGAGAGCAAATGCGTCGTATATTGAGGACCCCTGATGTCGTCGTCTTATTATTTCATTATTTTAAAAGTGGAGTAGTTATGCTTTCTTTTCTATATGCATTGTAATTCTCAGCTACGATTCAAATAACAAATACATCAAAACAACATCAGCGCTAGACTAATATTTTCGTGTTACCATGATCCAGCCATGTAGCATGGAATACACACAGGCAAGCAGGTGATGCTGCGCCCTCATTCTCCCCCATCACGCTCACTGAATCAATCCCCCAAAACAAGCCGTGGTTCAAAGTTAGCAGCGTAATGATTTTGCACACAATGTGCCGCCGGATGTACATCGAAACGCGCACATCCTTGCAGTGCAGTTGCAATCGTGTCCGACTCGGTCACGTCGCGCGTTAGCAAGCGAACCACTTAGCAGCATCTATGCTGCCGCTGTTTTCCTCTGGACATTAGCCTCGCAGCTAACCAGTCAGAGCTATAATATTAGCAAGCCACGGAACGACAAATAGCTGTCAAGCCTTATCCGCACTCGACCAAAACACCGTAGCAAAGCGACGGACTTACTCGCTAGTGTAGTAAAACAGCTGCCGGTGAGGATTTTTGTGTAGCTTGGTTCGTGTGACTGTTAGCTTGGGCTAGTCGCGTCCGTTCTGCCGTGCTACGTCCAACGCCGTCTGCGTCACCTCGAACGCCGACGGTCGATGACGTCAGTTCTGCCAAAATCTCATCAGATGTAGGTTGGAATTAATTAATGGTCATTCACATGTGTCGAGATGTATATCCCCATGCTTTTAATTCAACATTCACCAGTTCAACATGAAAAGAAACACGTTTGAAAAAAATCTTCTTAGATAGAAAACACAAGTCACAAAAAGTCTACTGAAATAATGATGATCTCGTCTCCATCTAATCACAAATTTACTTAGCAACTGTTAAACGTGGGCCTTTTAGTTGAATGCATATCTATTATTTTATTGTATGAATGGCAACAGTTGGATACACAGGTTAATTGTATTTTCTGACAATTACAATACGATATTTCTATTAAATTAATACAATGCATACGAAAATACATGAAGTGGAATTGAAGAATCTTGCGCCATCTCTCACAGCACACTAATATAGATGGGAATCACTGATTAGTTTCCAAATGCAAACTTACTAAGGGTGTAATGAAATCCAATTTCAACTGGAAAATCGATTTTGATTTAACCGAACCGAATGGAATTACATTTTAAAATGTACCATTCTTGAATTGGATCACACCCTGTGTACGAGATACATGTCAAATCGTCTTATATGAAAGATGCACACCAGTATAAATTGGTGAATGGTTTTGATGTTTCTTTAAATTTAACTAACTTCAATAGTTTGGGGATTTTTACATGTTGTTCCATTCATAAATGTGACAAAAGCTACCGTCGTATCATATTGAATCAAATTGTAATCCCATTGAATCGAACCAAATCAAATCATTCCACTTGAAAATGTAACATTCTTGAATCGTATTGTACCCCATGTACCAAGAGACATATCAAATCCTCTTTTGATAGAGATATGCACACCCCTAATACTTACCAAAATGTTCAACAGTCTGAGGAGTGTAGAGAAGGTGACAGGACAATCGCTTTAAGAATCACGAGTCAGTTCAAATCCTACCTGATGGCTCTGTTTGCCTATTTCTCGTTAGGTGAGGTTAATTATATAAACATGAACACGCAGTTATCATCTGTCCTATTCAACTGGGAAACTCTAACCACAGAACACCTTTATTCTTACACTAAAACAAAAGAGCATATGAAGTTATAATTAACAGAATAAAAAAGTTTCTAACAACATTCAATCATCTAGGAATATGGACTTTGTCTAGTTATGAAATTATAAGTCTCAATTGTGGGACTTGAGGGATCCATTCTTGTTCCACACCAAACTCATCCCAGCATGCCTTTCTGGCCCGTCTACCCATATAAACAATTGAGGCCTTCTCCACATAGTTCTCACAAAGCTAAAAATCATCCATTCCCAAAGAAACATTAGTTAGCACAATGCAGACATGCTGATGTTTTATGTTGGCCAAACCCAGACTGGTCCTGCCAGATACAAGAGTCTGATGTTATTGCCGGAGGAGGTTGGGAACAGTTGATTAGTCAGCATAGCGTCTGTGACTCAAGCCTGTCCCTGTAAAAGTTGGCTTGTACTCCACGACAGGGGAGGATGAAATCAAGAATTTTGCAATGGACAACGGTTGCGGCAATATCCCGTTTCGGTCGGTTTCGTGTTCATGGCATCGGCAGATAAATGTCCTTTGCGGGTCTCTGCGTAAAAGAGGCCACCGAGAGGCCTTTGGTGAGGAAAAAAGCATGTTCACATTTTTTCTTTCATAAAATCAACAAATAAATAAATAATCCAGAGTGGAAACTGTTTGGTGGTCTCAATGTTTGACCATAGGTCACTGAGAGTTGTGTGGTTCTAAAAGTGTTCAATAGTCAAAGCCCTCGATACTACCTAATTAATGTATCACACTTCTCTTGAGAGCGCAGGTGCTGTTTGTGTGGGAATTTTGATACTCAGTAAAATGACTTTACTCCCATCATTTTAGCACAAATGCCCTATTTTCCTATCATTTCTCATAATATTGTGATTATATACTCAAGGAATTATTGTCATTCACATTTTTATTAGTTTCAGTCTCACCTCTATAATGTCTGTGCACTTTTATGGTGGCTGAAAGAAAAACAATTATAAAGTTATCGTTTATGGAGTATAAACAAAAAGGTTTTTTTTTGTGGGTCTGGAACAGAAAAATGGCCTTTCGGTTTTTGTGCAGAATTGATTTGATGTGTGATGTACAACATTGAGTTAAGTTGTAAGAGTGAAGTTATTTTGTAAGACTAAATCTGTCATTCCGTGGTTATGTATGTATGTACTTGTAATGTATATGTAAACCAACAGTCAAAAAAAAAAAGACAGCAGACTGGATAAATATTTAGCAATAGCACTTTATTCAACACAAACAACCCTAAGCCACAATACTGAATGACAAGACCAATTGGCTGCAGCAAACATTTTATAAAATAGATTCATAGGTTTGAATGTCACTAAATTGTTTTTTTTTCTTTTAATGTCAGAAAGACAAATGCAGGTTTTTCCAAAACAGTGAATGATAATTTACATATTTAACATTTTCTTTTTGTAACAAATCATCATTCAGATGTTCACACAAAGGAATAACAAGGCAAAGTGCTTTCAGGATTGCATTGTCGAATAAACTAAAGAGAGAAAAATATGAACTGGTTGAGGGGTGAGGTGAGGCAGCGGGCTGGGTGAGAGTGGGGGGCAAATGGGGGCGGATTGGTCCTGTCCTACAACGGGAGCAGATGCATAAGGTTGGAAGGGCGGGATTTGAACCTCAAACCTCGTCCTGTCCGCCTCGCCATCAAACTGAACGCAGTGTGTTGGAACTGGGCAGGACAGGACACTGACTGAGCACAATATGGTTTCTGTAAGACGGCAGAGTGGGCGGATGGATTCAAAAGGCAAACGGCACAGAGGGCGCTCAAGGTGTCGCCTTTGGCGCCGAATCACAAATCCACCCTCTTCCACTGTCCCGGGAAATCAACACTGTTCCAGAACGAAGTTACAGTTACAGCCAGAGACAAAAAAAATGTGATTGCGGAGGAAATAAAAGCCAATATGTGGTTACCGATTTTCTACAAGATGACTCAGCTGTGCGCTACTTAAATGTTAAAGGGGACTATCATCATAATCTGCATCGTAACATTGTCTGGCTTCACATTCCAGTTGTGTTTAGTCGTATAAATGCTTCTCATAATTCCCCTAGACGCACAAACACAATTCTTTGAAACTACCATTGCTTAGGATAAAATCGGATTTTATTCCCATACCGGCGAGCTCTTCTAGTCGGAACAAAGTGGAGAGACAAAACCATAGTCAAAGCTGCAAAAACAAGGAGGTAGGAGAAATGCTACGGAGAACAGCAAGTATTGCAAACGCCGCGGTTCGCTTCAATCCACCAGGTGGCGAGTGGACTTGTAGTACGGCAGCTCGTCTCGAAGAGTCGGTTCAGCTGTCAAGTTTGGAAAAAAACGTTGACACTATGGGCCGATCGAATCTGAAGTGCGCTAGTTTCAAGTACATCAAAGCTAAATGAATGCAAGGAAAAAACAAAGCAAACAAAAAAAAAATGGTGTGTTCTAAGCTGCTTCCTCATAAAACGGATTATATCTTTGCTACCCAATGTAAAGCATGAATTAGAATTTTTGGCTTTTTTTTGTATTTACTGAAGAACAACACAGCCAAATAATTACTGTGATCTTCATTCAAATAATATATATAACTGATGGGTTTAACTGACCTAACTCCACAACGTTTTGCTCGCCAACATCAGGAAAAATTATTTCCCCCCAACGTTGTTACATTCGATATGTTTACTCAGAACAGCAGTGCTGCAGCGGGTTTTGTCCTGCGTACTTTTGACCACTGTCTGAATTTGTCAACTGACAATTGAAAAGTGAGAGTAAAAGACTCATTCCGAACGACGGTGGTGGGGTGTGGGGAGAGTAAAAAAATTCTCAATCAGGTAAAGACCCTCAACAACTATCGGGATGTCCCCCGCTGAACATTTGGGTTCTCAAAAAAATTCTGCAAGGGCTGGACTCGACGCGATGAGCTGCTGTGCCAATTCACTCAGCCTCCAAAGAAACACAAACCATACCAAAGCTCGTCTTTACGAGTCTCTCAGTTTCTAATGCTCTTAATTTCAACTCATCGGTTGGGTCCTGTTTGTCATCACAGGTCTTGCTGCTGGTGATGGCATTGACTCCTTTAGCGCACAGTAGAACAAAGTAGATTTGCAGATTTTGTAAATGAGGTAATCTAGGGAACCCTGTCATTGACGCAGGCACACAAGCACACGGGCGCGCACGAGCCCACTTCATTCACCCGTAAAGCAAAACAACAAGCCTCTTCAGACAGACAGGACCGCGGAATATGGAGTCCCACTTTGGAATGTTGGGTGAATGCGCCAACTTTTCTTTTGGGTACAATTCTTCAATGCGAAGGTGCACTGTGAAATTAGCTGATTGTAACTCATCACATTGCCCTGATTCAGAGTCCTTCCACTCCTGATAAGGGCTCCCTTGTATGTCCCCAGATAAGCCACTCCAGGTAAAAACAGGCAACCTATCTTCTACCTGGTTCGTCTTCGACTTAAGGCTGCCTTAGCAGCCGATCGGCGCCTGCTTCAAGTCCAGTTGTGAGGATTGTTAATAGCTCGTGAGCATCGATGAGGTGGCAACATCTACAGTGACTAAACAAAACCAAGAAACAAAACAAAGACGGACAATCGCTTCGAAAATGTCACAGGACATGCAAGTATACATCCTTTCCTACAGTAGGCTATTCCTCATAACACATTCAAGGGGGGCTCCTGTGGGACAACTTCTCCATTATGGCTCTGCTTTAGAGAGGAATCAAGCACGGTGAGGACTTCCATCACGCAGTAAAAAGGTTGAAAATTAAAAACACAAAAATAATCCTCGCGGCCTTATTTCTATCAGGCTGGATTTACATTGCAAGGGGTCAATGCCAATGTATGCTTGTATCCAGTGCACTTTTGAGCTTTCACTGTAAATGTGATTTGCCGTGGTTGTGTTAATTGGCATACTTGGACACTGCTTGGCTCGATTCGATCTGATCGACTCTTAATTATTGGCAGATATACCATTCATATCAGATATGATTTGGATGAGAATTGGTGACGGGCACAACGTGGTGACCGTGCGAAACTAATCGTTGATTTAATGTTTCGAAATGTATTTGCGGGCAAAACAGAGTGCACCATTTGGCTGCAAACAGCAGAGGTTGATTCACTCAACTATAGTTTGTAGCCTGGAGAAGAAGATGATCACATTAGCTATGGGACGTTGAGCTACATCCACATAACTCCTCTGGGCAGCTTTACTCGGCTCAAGAGCGCAAAGGCATCAAACAGTAGCTCAGAACATGCATGAATTAACAATAATCCTGAATGAAGGCGGGAATGCGAGTGGGAGTGGTCAATGGTTGGTTTCTATATGTGCCCGGCGATTGGCTGGCAACGAGTCCAAGCGTGACATCAGCTGGGACTTCAGCTCGCCCATGACCCTCATGAGGATTAAGTGGCATAGAAAATGTATGGATGGATGAATAGCAATGAATGAATTGCTATTTTTCCCCCCATTGTCAATCAAGGAAATTGAGTTAAATGCCCATATCTGATCTCAGGAGATTCGATTCCATGTAAATTTTTTTTTTTTTGATTTGCGATGCCAAGACACATTCAAAGTAGTCATACATTAAAAAAAAAATGTAATTGTGTGACACTATGCAATGTAAATCCAGCCTCAGTTGTCATTGTCGGTTCAACAATGAATGCAAGCGAAGTGTTCCTTCTTCACTTCCCCCAAAAGACACTGCTCCTCTGCTGGTGAAAACAAACGGCACTTTCGAGGGGAATGTTTCTCGGAAAAAAAAAATTAAAAAAGGACAATCAACTCTAGGTAATAAAGTGTGGAAACACTTACAGTAGGCTATACAGTAGATAGAAATCTCAAGAGTTGGACTGTACAAGCTTTAGGCTACACGCTGAAAAGGGAGGAACACGCAAGAACTCTTAATGCTCAACATTTAACACAAATAAGGCATTTTCAATACTCCTTTTATCCGCATATATCACAGACAGCAGGACTGAACATCTTTTTTTCATTATTTTTTTGTTTTTTTGGGGGGGAGAAATGTTTCATTCAAGGAGGAAGATGCATATACATTTACACATGCAAAGGAACATGTCTACCAGCTAGAAACGGGAAGTGGGGGAATAAAAGATTCCAAAGTACAATAGTGTCTACCATGAGGACACACGCACGCACGCACACCTCCCCATCCTGTCTACCAGCCAACTTGTACAAAGTGCTTCCTCCAAGCAGGCGGCGCGTCAAAGCTGGATCACAGTTTTCAGAACGAAATAGCACATACGCACTCCACAGTCAAACGCCACCGCTCTGAACACAAACAAGAGGAAATCCTTTATTTGCTACAGCTGAAGTGACTTTTGGTGTTCAACTTAAAAGCATATTAAATAAATCCACAGAGGAAGCAACGATAAACAAAAGGTTATTGCACTTTGATCTTTTGTCTATTTCCAAACGAGGTCAGTTGAAGAAGATTCATGCCTCGGTTAAGACGACACGTTACGTCACTTCTAGAGTACGATTCACACAGCTATTAACACTGCACACTGGCTACTACTGCAACCCTACTTGTACTCGCCCTAGCCTAAATGACACACAAATCAACAATCGGTTCGCAAACACAACAAATGACGTGACTCTGCTTCGTGCCGCGAAGCCGCACAATCGTCAAAGGATACCGAAGAATTTGAGGAGGCCCTGAAGCAGCTCAGAGAATCCACACGGTTGTCTTTCTACAGTTTGTGTGACTGACAGTCAAGCTTGGGATGCACCGATTTGTCGGGTGGTCGCCCGACTGCTCAACGTCATCGAGCATCAGTGTAACAAACACTCTGAAGGGTGTGGGTGATGCTTTCGTTTAATTTTGGAAGGTCGTTTTATCAAGAGGGCTTTTTTTCCACCCCCGAAGGTGTCTGTTTTGCTACAAGCCCGGTACCGGTCAAGGTGGTCAAGGCCGGGGTAATACTGCATCCAATAGTCAAACCTCATCTGTACCGAAATATGTCCTTGAGGCTCCCTCACACGAGGTTTTGGGAGCGTGAACAGAGCTTTGTGGTGCCTTCTTTGGATTTGTGCTTTCATATCGTTTGATCCCAATCCATTCACATGCTGGATGTGCCTGAAAAACTGTCACAAATGTGCAATTGACGCCACCCTCATCACCGAAGAGTGGCCAAAACCAAAAGAATCCGATCGCAGAGGATAAATTGTGAGGGCTGGATGCTGATCGAAATACCATTTTCCCCATTGTATAAGGCTTCCGGGAAATACAAATGGAAGACCGTACCTTTCGGTAGTAACAAATAAAAGGCACCGTGCCATCACTGTGCTTGATAGTACACAGGTCCTACTGATATGGAGGGGAAAGGAATGTGGAGTCATGGCTAATGACCAAGTCTTCAAGGCATGGGAGAGAAATTGGTAAAATCAAATAGCTACCTTCCTACAGTTAGACAGCACCCATTATCTTGTATGACATGCACCAGTAAATGAATGGTGACTGTCATGGCAAAAACATTCTTGACTTTTTATCCTTTCTTTAAAAAAAATAAAATAAAATAAAAAAGCGGGGGGGGGGGGGTCGCAAAAGGTTAGTTATAGCAAGCTTCGTCACACACAGGATGAGGTAAAACTGCAGGTCCAATAAAAAGTACGACGACAAGGTGCAGCAGGGAGCGACTTGGTAAAAGTAGAAAACGCAAGCTAGTGACAATTCCGCTAATATACATTTCCCATTTAGGCTGGTTTAAGCAGAATTACACAACTCATGGAGAGATGGACTCCTTCGTGGAGCTGCACTTTTTTGTTTCTCCTAATCTAAAATAGTCATTTCTTTATTACTATATTTTCTTTCTGAGTGAATAATGTGAGGAGCACCACTTTGAAGCCCCGGTGGCCGTAACGGACAAGCCTAGGTTGATTGTTTCCAAGTAAAGTCTGACTCAATTCATTCACAGTGGCAAATATGGCGTTATCCTCCTGTCGGGACAATCTCTTTGCCATGGCAACCTTCAGCTCTGTGCTACCGCGACAAATTTGTGTGCTTCTTGACACCCAAAGACCAACGTTGCTTTTTTTTTAATTTTATTTATTTATTTTTTTAGCTGTCTCGTCGGTTGTGACCACATAGAGGCGATGCAATGTGTCAGGTATTTCCAGGGATCAAAAAATTATTTACATTTATTTTTTTTAATGCTTTTTAAGGCAAAAGGCTCAACAATGGATCAAAGTTGAATCGAAATTTGCCGTTTTTTTTCTGTTGTCATTGTATATCATCAGCAATGTTTCAAGTAAGAACCGAGACATCCATAGAGGTAAACTAATTCTGAAAATACCATTCCCCCTCCCCCCCTCCAAATTGTTATGACATCAACAAATAAATTCGGACACACAGCACATACACACCTTGCTAAACAAACAACCATGGGATTGCTCTGCTCATATCAAAACTATGTTGCCCAATTATAAAACCCTACTGACAGACTATTTGTGTCGAAAGTATCCCAATATCCCATGCAAATATTTCTTGGACTGTAGTCCTAAATGGTACAAAGACATGCAAGTCCGAACGCTATAATTATGATAATCCTGCCTATTAGGGAATACGTTACTGACCTATATGAGTTACATCTAAAGGCAAATAAAGGTTTCAATGGCACTAAATGGGTGTTCCTTAGGTGCATTTTTGTCAAATATAGGCGACCGTATTCTATGTAGACCTTTCTTTGTCTTGTTTTCTTTTTGTCCCACTTGATAAGGCATTCTCTATGAAACCAATGTCAAATTGTCCCACGTATCCATTGTTGGCTGCACTAAAATTCAATGGAAGCAATAAATGACTTCAATGCAGCTCCTCAGTGCACGGTAGATCACAACACACACTCTAAAACAAGAGGTTTACAGTACATGCTACCAGGCATTTCCCACTACTTCCAGTCCTCCCGCTTGAGGGGAAAACCCCCCGACCTGACATCCATTATCAGTCATGGCTCAGATTGAATGGTCAGACTGTAAACTGCCTGAATGAATGCATAAATCAATTGGTGCTGTCGTGAGAGGCTTCCCCATCCTCCTTATGCAAGTTCTGGCAAAAGTTGGGAATGCACTGAAACCCACATAAATGTATTTTAAGTCTTACCACTGGCATCTATGACTTGGCTGAAGCGGATGGCAATGTTTGGGCTGCACTCAATCACACACTCACACTATTGCTACAATTGGACCAACCACCTTTTTTTTTTCTAAATCAACATGCACTTATTATTACTGACTGACACACACAGACACACACACACACTCGCGCAAAAACACATCCACGCGCATAGATAAATCATGTACAAGAACACTAGCTCCCAAACAAAAAGATTGTATACTTGCAGGGAGGCAACTCCGTTTACTGGTCACATTTAGACATCATTAGAGGGGTGGGGGGTGGGGATCATCCCTGCCAGAACGGACAAGCACCTACAAATAGCCAGTGTGTGTGTGGTGTTTTTAAAGAGGCCGCTCATGGTGTGTGTCGTATTGGCACACTTTACTCCAAATGTCTCGGGCCTGCAGATGGGGGAAGAAGGTGCAGACACTAGGAGAATTCTCTCTCTCTCTCTCTCTCTCTCTCTCTCTCTCTCTCTCACACACACACACACACACACACACACACACACACACACACACACACTTTGAAAAGCCAGTGGGCAGTGCACAGTGCCTCGAATGATCGGGGACACTATTTGCTAATCAATGCAATGCACTAAGTCAACAACTAGCCGACCATTCCTGTAATTCAGCAGCAACACACATGCATGTAAACATAAGTACATACATTACAGCTGCTCCATTTTGCACACTTAGAACCTGAATGTACGAAAGTGCGTGCTTGACTAATTAAGTGCTGTGGGATTAAGGTTAAAAAGGGAATCAAATTTCATGGAACATCCCATCCATTAAAAAAAGCAACACCACCAACAAAAACTAATTCTAGTTATCCTGCTGAATTGTGATTGGTTCATCAATTTTGCTTGCTGCTTCAAGCTCAGATCCTGAGATCGCAAACAAATGATGGACCAATATATTCAGAACCCAAGAGAATAATAAAAGGTGAATTTCATCACAGCTAAACAGCAATGACTCCTCTGGACCGGAGTCTGTGTCAATTGTAATCAATCGTAAGTAAGGAGGGGTGGGGGGTGGGCGGGGGTGAGTCAAACAAGTCTCAGTCCACATCACCCATCTGGTTACCTAATGTGTGCAACTGTGCCACCTGACTAGCAGTTATCACGGCCAGCAGATGAAGCAAATGACGACAAATTGAAAGAAAATGCGTTCCTAACAGCTGCAATACAATCATCTTTAGTATGCATTTAGTATGTTTAGTACCAGAAATGGGATGAAGAGACCCAAAAAAAAAAAAAAAAATCGAATAATTAAAAAAAATAAACACACCAAAAAGTACGTATTTGGATTTCTGCTCTTCCTGAAATCAGCACTGGGGACAATTGTGTGGAATTGATTGCCGATTAAACAACTCTAGAAACACTTAAGGTTCAACGCCATGCACTCGTGGGTGGAAACCGAGAGGCGCTGTTCATTCAGTCTCAACTAGTGCCGCTCTCCAAAGAACATAACACCAGCTACGACAAATTACGCTACACAGTCACGAGAGTTCAGAACATGCTGGAAGAATCTCCCATCACCTTTCGAATGTTACTTTAAAGTACATCTATTATTTAACCTTCATTTTCTCTCAGAGCAGAAAAAGGAAATTTAAGTCAAATGCCATCCCTAATCGACAAAACATATCGGCCAAAGCAAATATCGCTCTCCCTTTTCAGGGGCATTTTTTTTTGTTCTGCTTTGTTATTAAATATTGTCATCGACCGACTGTGGTTCGTGGTATCAAACGGGATGAACGCGAGTTGCTCATAATACTTTTGCCACTTTGCAGTCCAACTGAAATGACGGAAGGCATGGGTCGAAAAAGGCATTTGATGAGACGCCGTCAAAGGCAATCCAGTGCATTTGTGTTGACACAGACGGTTTAAAATGCCCAAAACACACAGAGCCATTCGTTTAGTCTTCAGGTCATCTGTCACAGAGTTAAGACCAAAAGGAAAACCAAACACATTCCAGGGAAACAAAAGCCCTTGTGACAGTGATTGTCTATTCAATAAAACAAAAAAAAAAGGCCAAAAGAAAACTATTGCTCATAAGTTGCCAGATAATAATAATAATAATAATAACAACAACAACAACAACGAATGGAGGCAGTGAAATAAGCCGACAATATGCTTCAAATTGACGACCACCAAGAGAAAGAAGCTATTAAGACGAGCTCAACAAATAATCCTTCAACATTGATGGACACACACACACACACACACACACACACACACACACACACACACACACACAAACACACAAACACACAAAAAAAGGCCTAAACGCCACACTGAACTATCGCTTAGGCCACGCTAACTCCGAAATCTTTGCACAAACACTGTTCAAGAGATGGGAACGAAATTGAAATGGCTTGTTCATTTATGTGCTCAGATATATGATGCTCTGATGAGGTGTTGTTGGCAGATATTACTTGTAAAGCCTTCATCTAAGAAATCAACAAGGCCTTGGTCACTTCACTACATCCTACGGTAGTTCTCCCGACCAAAAAAAAAAAAAAACAAAACAAACGTCAGGCCGACAGACCTTGGGTGAAGATGAAGCAGCTGCTAAACGAGTTGACGAGGTATATCAAGATCTATTGTCTCTCTCTCTCTCTCTGTACAGTACAGTTCATCTCAAATAAATAATTTTATAGCCATAGTAGTGTTGATCAACTTTGGTCATAACATATGCTTAGAAACATTCTAGCCTAACAAACACTTAGTTAGCATCTTGAAAATATCAGCATCGGCATTCAGGGCCGATGACGGCGCGGCGCTCCTTTGCAAGGAGGCGCCTTCATATATTCAGCAGCGTCAATTATTTTCCAATGCCAAAAAAGTTAGGAGCCATTTAAAAGTACACCACAGAATCTTTGTGACCCTTTTCGGATTGTATTGTAGTACACAAGCATTGCACTTTTCAGCTAATTTGATTTTTTTTTCTCTCCCTTGTGTGGTTCCTTCATTAAAATAAAAATTTCAATCTAGGCTAAGGTACAATTAAAAAAACAAAACAAAACAAAAAAACAACATTTTGAAAGGAAACTCTTTGATCATTCTTTTGGGACGGCTGAAAGTTCCTCTACAAGGTCACCAAAGTGATATGACTTCACTCAACGATATGACGGTGAGACCGGTTCCGGTTACACAGCATAGCTGATGCTTTTAAAGGGTTCAATGACTTTCGTGTGGCCAGATTACATTGGTTTGGACGTCACACTTGATCGGCGTGGCCTTGTAGAGCAACAAGCCTCTATGTAGTAAGCACTACTCTGGGATGGAGGAATGGGGTTCTAATTGCATATTAGGTTTGACTGCACCTCAAGAGAAGATCAAACACTCACGCACACACAGACACATACGGACATACATACACAGAATAGATATGTAGGCGGGTCCTCTCCTGGTCCTCTTGGCCATGGTAAAGGGAGACCCCGCCTGGTGGTAGATGACGGTGACAGCAGCATGACCGAGCCTGGCGGAGTCATCCCTCACTCGGACAGACAGCCGTCCAGGCCAACTGGTGCGCCGTGGCGGTCTTTGACGTAGCCATTGTGGAGGCCGTTGCTCGGCAGGGGGGCGCAGGCGGCCGTGATGCCGCAGTGCTTGAGCAAGTTGAGGCCTGGCGACGGGGAGACGCCAGGGGAGGAGCACGAGCAAGAGGATGGGTCAAGTTTGGGGAAAGGCTTCATGGTAGAGAGGATCAGAGCCAGGCAGTCAGCCACGTCTTTGTTGGGCGCGCACGCCAGAGCTGGGGTGTGGCCTGGTGGATGGGTAAAAATCATATGTCATCATCCAATAACAACCCTGATCGATTTCGCAGATTTTTAAAAACTTGCAAGCTTCCACTGAACTTAAATACATTGACTTTATGCAACTCCTACTTGAACACAACAGGAGTCATTAGGTGCTAACCTTCCTCATCCACAGCCAGAACAGTGGCTCCTCTGCTCAACAGCGCCTGCACCACTGTGGCCAGGCCATTACGAGCGGCGAGATGGAGGGGCCTGGAGGAGAGCAAGTTAGTCAAAAACTACAAGAAAATCAATTACTCATGGAGAATTTTACTTCAAAGGATTTGACATTATTCCATTTCATCACTAACAACAACGACAAACAACATATTCTCACATTTGCAGAGCACTGTTGGTAGCATTTACAAGAGTAGGACTGTGGATCTCTCCCAGAATCAGCAGGGCGCACATCTCATGAGCCTGAGGGGACAAGCAAACAAGAAAGTGTCAAAAACGGTTGAGATTTTGAGAAACCATACCCAGGTACCGGGAATCGGTAGGGCATGCTTTGTAAAAACAAAATAAAAATCCACCCGCTGGAACTCTGAAACCAAGCCAGAGTACTCTCGCTGGGACGGACCAATAGGAAAAACAAGTGACTGTGTGTACCTTGCTGCAGGCCAGGTGCAGGGCAGTGTTCCTATTCTCATCCAGCAGTGTGAGGTCAGCCTTCGTCCGGTGAAGGAGGATGGCTAAACAACCGCAAAACAAGGACACGTCATGACAATTAATGTGAGTTTAAAGTACAATCTTAAAACAGAATATAAGACCAATCCATCAGGTATAGCTAACGCTGATGATCACCACGCATCTAATCGTAAGTAACTGAGGTCGACTTTTTGGGACAATATCGTATGGTAACAACCATCCAGCGTACAAACAGTATGTGAGTATGGTAGCTTTAGTGATCTGAATTTCACCAGATCTGGTTAAGAATAAATGGAAAAATATTGACTGAGAACCTTTTTTAATCAGGAACAATGAAGATGTGCAAAGTCAATACGGGATCACATAATTACTGTATTTTCCCCACGCTGACATGTTTAACTTAGCTCAGTGCATCATCACAGACGCATTGAAAATCCCTGAAGTGGACTTACCCACTGTTCCACTGTGTCCCTTATCAGCAGCCACCATAAGGGCAGAACGTCCAGAGCTGTCCACCGCATTGATCTCAGTTCCATGACGAAGAACCAGCTGGAGTCCTGCGACGTCCTCGGCAAAAGCAGCAGCATGCAGCGGGGTCCTGGAGGCGCACACAACAAAGTTTAGGTCGGGCCTTTCATTTTTGGTCATATACTTTGACAATTTTGTGCGTAAGAAAAGCTAAAAGGTAAGACGCATGTGGTGTGTGGTCTCACCTTCCTTTGGCATCTCTGGTGTTTATCATGTGGACTCCGGCACATTCAAGAAGGCGTTCTGCAGCACCGCTGTGGCCATTCATTCTGTTGATAAAGTGCATTGTTGCAAAGCACTCATTTAAATTGACCATTTTTTGCTTCTGTAGTTACAGTAGAAGGATTTTTTTTAATTTCCACAAAAATGTGTCCAAAAATTTATTCTGACAGTGTGTCTGCCGAAACTACCACCACAAAAATAATTGTTTTCATATATTTATAGAGCAGATCAGATGTGCACAAACATCAGGATGAATTTTGGAGCATTCCTCTTTTTCAAAACGTTAGCAGTAAGATTCTTTGGATGTCTGCTGTGATTAGCTCTCATGCCACAGACATCTCACTCGGGTTGAGATCAGATCTTGGACAGGGCCACTCCACAATATGTATTTTCTTCTTCCCAAGTCATTCTGCTGTTGATTTGCTTGTGTTTTGGATTGTTGTCCTGTTGAAACCGCCATTCCTTTTTGAGCTTCAAATGTTGGACAGATGGACTCCAGTTTTTTCAGCAAAATATCTTGATAAATATGTGAAGTAATTTTTCCATCGATGATCAAAGCTCACCAGGCCCATTTTTGTCCATTTACCCGCTGTCTACAAAAAATGACATCACAGTTGCTCGGGCCCAGGTAACAACCAATCATGGCCCAACTTCAGCAAACCGGTGAGCCGTGACTGTTTGTTACCTGAGCAGGCAACCGTGATGTCACTTTCAGATGACAGAAAGTGTCAAAACGGTAGCCCTCTGACATGGCTAAAAATGGGCGAATTTAGCTGCTTAGCTCATATTCCACAAAGACAATATCAATTAGAATGTGCCATGTTTAGACTAGAGTAGGTGCATAGAACATAGTATTGTAAAGACGATTTTGGGGTTGACTTCCCCTTGCAGCAAGCGGTGCTTCCTTTTGATTTAGATGCCTGCCACTAAAACTAATTGTGTTTTTTAACTTACGAAAACAAAGACAACTGAATACTCACAGAGCACAGTGCAGTGGAGTGAAAGGGTTCCCCTCTTCATGAATAAATGTTTTGAATTCAAGTAAAACCTCCAAACAGTCTTCATGCCCTGAAAATGAAGACAATAAAAGTGGTGTACTGGTATACAATATTTAAATGCGGTAAAATGTCAAGTGACTTGAAGTCAAACCTTTGTACGCAGCCCAATGGAGCGGGGTGTATTGTTTGTTGTCCAGCAGTTTGTCTTGCAGCTCAGTTGCTGCTGTGGCGGCCTGCAACAAATTGGCCAAGATCTCAGTGTGGCCCCTGGAGGCGGCGTAGTGCAGCGGCGTCCGACCGAGGGAGTCCCGACACAGCGCAGAAGCTTTGTGCTCCAGCAGGGTTGCCACACACAAATCGTGGCCCAGCAACGCCTAAAACAACCCCAAAGGTGAGAAAATCAAACATAACCAAGTGGGTACAGTGGCACGTTGAAAGTCCGACAGGCACGAGGTTAAGCAATTTGGAGTTTGATCTTAAAAAAATTGGGGAAAAATATAAGCCCAAAATGCCGCAAAACCTCAGAACATCCATCATGCATGAGGCCACGTCAGATGTCAAAGGTGAGGCGCATCACAGATGTGAGAACAGCTTAGTTAGCTGTTTTCAAAGAACACATCTTCAATTAGATGATGCATGTGTGATTTGTTATGCGGCCGCATACTGAGCAACGCTGGAAAGGTTTTGAGATAGGGCTGAAGGATTTTAGGAAAAGATGAAATTGCTATTTTTCTGGTGGATATTGCAATTTCGTTCCACAATTTTCTTCAAAAGAAGCTTCAGCGCAATATTCACAATGGAAAGCAGGGTGGGGTATAACTCATTTTAGCTGTGGGCCACATTGTAGTTACTGTTTCGCTTGGAGGAGCCGTTCTGACAGTGAAACCAAATAAATAAGGCAGGAATAATGGTTGAATCAACTATTGCTTAAGTTACTGTAATGAGGGCTTTGGGAACAAGAAAATGCTGACAATATCTCTCGCATTATTTATTACATGAGATTTATTAGCAAACATTATGGAAGTTGACATGTTTGATATGCTTTCATGGGCTACATAATATAAACAATGTTTGCAGACTACTTCCTGGTTCACAAAGGACAACATAAGATTTAGTGGCTGCTCGAATTTTGCCTGCTTCTCAATTTACAGCAAAATAAAGCCGTTCAAATGTAGTTTCATGACTCTTGAGTTCTGACCTAAATTTTCCATTGGCAATTGCCGGCTTTGAATGAACATATATGATAAATGCAAAGGTAAAACCAATAACTTTTAGATATCTGCTGAACTAATGCTTCAGTGGGTGTGAACTGAATTAAAAAATGTGCAGAGTTAACACTTAAACACAAAGCTCATCAAAATTAATGAACAGACAACTTTGGTGAGTTCAAGAGAAGCTTGTAAAGTCGGAACTTTAATGTAGTCTAAAGACACTTGCAGTAGCCATCCATAGAGAGAGAGTTTTTCGCTTACCCCTCTGTGCAATGCCGTGCTGCCTCTCTTATCCTTGGCATCTGGAACGGCCTCCTTTGCCAGTAGGAAGCGGACGCAGTCAGTGTGACCCCCGAGAACGGCGAGCATTAGCGGTGTCCTGCAGTGCACCACAAGTAACAAAAAAAGGAGGATGTTTGATTGAGCACAAGAAGTGTGAAGTCTTTGTTTAGAAGGACACACAGAAGCACTGACTGGCCAAACTTGTCCGCAACGTTGATGAGGTCGCCCTCCTCCCCACATTCGATCATCTTGTGCAGGCAATCGGAGTGACCGTGAGCAGCTGAAGATACAAATATTTTATTGTAACAAGAGTACCGACAAGACCTTGACACAATAAGAGAACAAATGCATCGGACAAATCCTGCCCAAAAATATGGAATCACTGCCACTCTTTTGGCTTTAACGCACACACACGCACACGCACATGCACACACACACACACACACACACACACACACACACACACACAATAATTTCAGAAAGTTGTGTTTTTGAGCAGATCGAGGGAAAAAAATGGAATCACTCAATTCTGGGGAAAAAAGATGCACTCATCATGTCAGGTGATTGTTTTCGGTTCTAAAACAACCCCTGCATCACAATGAATTAGCTAATTAGTTATCAGTTTAATAAGAGTGCTCACACTTTGGAGAGCTTTTGCACAAAGTGGCGTCACATCAACCATTGACACAAAGGAGAGTATCATAAAAGTTCTTCAAGAAGTTAAAATAATGTGGGTTATTCCCAATCAGCAGTATCTAAAACAGGGGTTGGAAACCTGCGCCTCCGGAGCCGCATGTGGCTCTTTCAGCCTTATGTTGCGGCTCTGCGTGGTTGGGAAGATTAAAGTATCCAATTGAATAAATAAAAGTGTCACCACGTAAAGCAATGATCTTCAAACCCCGGTTTCGGGCCACGCAGAGACAGAAAATTTAGGAGTCCTAACAGCTATGCAATTGTTGGGTACGTGCGTGACTTCTCCAATCTAGAAACGACACTACTGATTTATGACCTCGTTCAAAGCAACCAGTGGGGAAACAAGCTTGCCTGTCACCAAATAATTTACACTCGTTCAACATCTATTTGAAGTGGAGATCTTTGGACATGTCAAACCTGTCATGAACCTGTCTGTCACTCTCTCATCGCTTTGACGATGCTGTTTAGCGAGGAGGCTTCTTTACATCCAGCAAGGGAGTATTTTGGAACTTGCCTCCCCCTCCCAACAATCCATGAAGTCAAACCCACTGCTCAGCTGCTGCCTGTCGGGAGCTGAGCGCATGTGTATGTGTCTGTAGCTCTGTTAGCGTCAATAACAAACCACTACTAAATAAAATAATAATTACAAAACAAAACAACATTGTGTCCTGTAAAACTAAGCCATTATGCTGTATTTGGCAAGATATTTGGACATCTGTATTATGTTGCAGATTTTTGATCTTTCAATGTTTCGAAAATGAATAAAACTGATCTTTTACACCCGACATCGGATGAGTTGAAAACAAAATAAACCTTAGTCACTAAATAATAGATGGAGATCAATGCCTTGAAGCGCTTTTATTTTGAAGTTGTTCTGCATAGTGTGTCGCGGCGCAATGGCTTACTTGTACAAATAACAATTTGTCGATGTTTTTTTTATTGCTGTATGCAGGCTTTCTATGTCCGGCAGTGATTATTTGGCTGAAATTCTGGGACAGTGATATGATAACATCTGCTCCCAAAGTTCACCACAGCGAACTTGCATACCTGCAACATGAATCGGGGTCCAAATGAGGCGGTTGTCATTAAGGAGACATGATGCTCCCTGGGCCAAGAGCACCTCCACGCAGTGGGCGTAGCCTTTCTGGGCAGCCAGGTAGAGCACAGAGCGGCCAGCAGCATCTTGCATATCCACATAGGCAGCCGTCTCAGTCAGCACACGCAGCGCCTGCCAGTGTCCCCTGTCAGCCTGCACGGAAGGTAGGGGGCAAGAATAGTTGTTGATATTCTCGCGCCAGAAGCCACGAGCCAAATATTGAAAAGATACTCACAGCGAGATGCAGGGGGCTGACCGGAATACTGCTCTCTATGTCGCCAAGTGCATTAAAGGACATCTCCAGAAGCTAAAACACACATTCAAACTTGCGTGAACACATTTTGTGTGAAACGGTCAACAACATTTACCACCTCCTCTCATCATATTCATCATATACATCCTGGAGGACCTCAAAACTCAAATACAATAGTGCAGAAATGCTAGTCAACCTTCATGTCATTTGGATTTTTTGGGAGGGGTTGGAGGAATGAGTCCTTAAATGCTTGCTGAACTAAGCTCACCTTCTAATGAGAACTTCAGACTTGTGTGAAACTTTTCCACTCAAAAGGTTGGTCCTATTTTATGTAGTTGAGGTTCGACGAAATAAACAATTTGCACTTACCAGTTCCAGGTTCTGTGTGTTGCCATGATAAGCTGCATAGTGGACAGCGCTGTAACCCTTAGCGTTGACCATCGAGGGATCAGCACCATTATCCAGAAGATGCTCCAAGCAACTGTTTGTAAATAGGAAAGACACGTGGATGTTCAGTCATGGCGTGACCATCAAAAGGCAAATATAGTGGAGCAGAAGTAAGCAGTAAAAACTCACAAGTATGACTCCTTCACCTCTTCTTCATCATGCTGATGATTTCCATAAAAATGTCCATCACCTCTGAAAAAAAAGTTTTGAAAGGAATTAAAGGAGATTTGTTTCTGAAGTTCTCTGCTGGCATCTCACAATGGTGACCACTTTACACAAAGATGATCGGTTCTAAGTAAAATATTAACATTTTAATGATATTGAAATTTTGGAAAACTTTCTTTACTGTAGGAAGCTTAAGGGAGGCATTGACAAAGTATTTGTAAATGTAATTTCTCATTTAAATCACAAGTATGGTAATTGAGTGTGGCTTCTCTTGCTGCATGACAACATTCTTATGTCACCGTGCAAACTAGTTTATTGCACGCCATTCACAATTTTGAAACATTGAGGAACCCCTGCACTGGGAATAGGACTTCACAGTATCTGCCTTTTCTAACAGAAAAAGGCTAATCGCGAGTCCAGCCGCGCGAAATTGAGTAGGTGTGGTGGAGGGGACAACTGGCCATTATTTCCGCCATGTCGGAGTACTTTGTTACCAAATCGTTTTCATACAACCGTCACACCTTTAACATTCCATGACTGTCAAAATTCCACGACATATAGCAATTGATTAGTTTACCCCGCTTGACTGTTGTTGTTTCTCACCTGCTGAAGGCTTGTGAGGCTGCAGAGTAGTGCAGGGGGGTGCAGCCTGTTTGGTCAGGCTCATTGATCTCAGCACCAGCGCTCACCAGGGTCACAGTGCACTGATACCTCCCATTAGCAGCCGCATAGTGTAATGGTGTCCTAGTAGCAAGAAAGCAAAACATGGGCCATGTATTCCTATTAGACAGGTACAAGACAACACAGTTGCATAGACATTTTTGTACACATTCACTGAAGTTGTCGAATGAAGTCCAGTGGAAATGCTCACCTTCCCATTAGGTCCCTCCTGTTCAAGTCCGTGCCACTACTTAAGAGCAAGTTCAGACATTCAACATTTCTGGAAAGACACACAGCCGTGGATATTAAGAATGTATGCTTTCACAAAGGGGAAAAACCAAGAACAAAGATGGTCTGATGTGAAGACAAAAAAAACAGTCCAGTTGATGACAGAGTGCTCCAGATGTTGGAACAAAAGCAAAAATTAAGCTCCGAAAAGTGGCGTGTGGAATCACATTTTTTCATAGCCATTTTAATTAAGCCAGTTCTAGTACTGTACAATTTCTGCAGTCTTAAGATGAAAGCATGCCACACTGCATCAAGTCCATTAATTTGGCTTGAAATGCATTTATCTCTTTTGTGTTTGGCCCTAAAAATAGTGGCAGAGACTGCGAGAATGTGGTGATATTCACACCACTTCTTTAAGCTGTTTGTCATTAACTGCTCGTTCAACGTAGTTTCTACAAAGCATCACTGCCATTGCCATTTGCGTAATATTAGGTTCACAAGCTTAATGCTAACATAGTAGAAAACACCAGAGACAGTCAAGAACGACATATAATTCTATCCCACCAAACAACTGTTACGCCACACAGCAGCAACACATTACAAATCGAACATACAGCAGTACCAAGAGACAGAGATTCTCAGCTCTGTGTAAACAGAACTACTTGTTGACATCATCGATCAAATCTACCTGCGTCACATTATTGCCTGTCAGGTGACAGTGCACTCTCACATTTGTATGTCTGTAATATTCGGTGTGTGGCTTATAATGGGAACATTTTTTTAGTGGGTGCAGCTTAACAGTATATGCTGATCAATGTATTGCAGTGCAGCTTGCATGAATAGTGTGTTGGCCTTTAGAAGTCAGGCATAGTTAGGGTTTTATTGGTCAATGAACATTCCATTTGTTGAGGAAGGTTGTAAAGCGATTGCGCAGGTCATAAAAAGATTGTGGGGGTCAGACCATCTGTTTCTCGACAGGATGTGCTTGTTTGCAGGAGCACAGATCAAAGAAGAGAAACTATTTGCACTTCATGCATACAGAAAGTGATACCGTGACCTTGGGGCATACTCACAAAGGCAATAAGATCAAGAGGAAAAAAAAGGCGGGGAATACAAAGATCTGCAGCCTTCTCCAGGAGCTGAACTTGCTGTTTGACTCCACTTTTGAGATCATTCGTTTTTAGCTTTTGCTAAATCTTATTTAAGGACTAATATTATAATTGTTAAACTTTGACCAGGCGCCAGAGTCATTATTCGACCAAATGGACACATGTTGGCCCTTCTGATTGAACAAAACGGTTACCCCCATATTTAGGCGACTACACCTACTTACCCTCCAGAGGCAGCGGCGTGTAGACAGGTCCTACCAAAGTTGTCAGGGGTGTTAATGTCAAACCCTGCCGACAGCACGTGCTCCTTACTCATGGAGGAGACGATGCTGTACAGCTGACCTGTGAGGAGGGCGGATTCATGAGTTGACTCCAAAATACACACGGCAAGAGTGGTTTAAGTGGAAGCGTTTTTTTTTCTCCGTCACAAACCTGAGGAGAGTAACTTGCGACAACAGTCTGAAAACCCGTAAAGCACAGCTAAGTGCAAGGCGAACATTCCATGGATCCCACGTCTGGAAAAGCACACAAGAACAGAAAAACAGCCTTTGTAACATATCGTTGCTGTCCCTAAAAACAATCTAACATGAAATGCCAAACACAGTGTAGCATTGGGACCCCAGTAATGTTGTTTTGCAGTCAGCCAAAGACTCAAGGCCTAGACTCAGTCCAAAGGCTAAAGCAGCCATTAGACGACACGTGGGCAATTAATTTTCAAAACGGGTCATCTCAGAAACTGGAATGCTTATCGAAGGCCATGACAACATGGCAACCTTAATAAGCTGCTATATCTGCAGATATGGAATATTTTCTTGCAATTGGGAAATACAAAATTGGGCCAATAACCGGTTTGACAATTTACCGTGGTTTTAAAAAGTCATGGTTTCAATAACCGCAAATACTGCCTGTCACCAGTAATAAGATGCTCTTTTCTTTTTTGAAGGGAAGTGTAAGCAGCGCACAATATGATGGGCTGCTTGCAGAGTTGAGTAAACTTGCGGTCCCTTTGAAGTTAATTGCCTCCGATTCATCCCCACACCTTATCTGCAAATAGCTACTGCAGAGAAGGGGGGTTAGATGAAGGGAAGAGGGGGGATGGACGGACGATAGACGAAAGAGACAGGATGCCTTTGCATCGCCCCCCCCCCCCCCCAATAAAATACGTCCCCAGGTCTGCAAGAGTAGTGCACGGCTCTGTTATAGCAGCTTACCAGTAATGTGTGTGACTTGCTAATAAGATTTAAAACAGAAGAATGACAACATTTTTAAAAAATTCACATGATATACATTTCTTAACGTACAAATATGCTAAAATGTTTGAAAATTAAAATTGATTGCGTTGAATGAAAAATAAAAATACTGTTCTTATTCGCCCAAATATTTCCAAAAAGGCCATTTTGGAGCTGTGATTATAATACCGTGATACGGCGATATTTCTGCTCACGGTTATCATCATGTCAGAATCTAAAATCCACCCATGCCTGGTCAGAAGCTGTTGTAATTATTTTGTATATACAGTACACCCATTAAACATATGAAGTATCAGATAATGAATGGATAAACATATGTATCTATGTGCATACTTAATTTTGCTGAAATTATGAGCACCAACAATTAACTCCTCTATCCATTCATAATCTTTTTCAAGGCCAATCTTCCCTCTCCACTGTGGTGGAAATGAGAACATCTCTAACATGAGGATCACCGCGGGCATCGTAACAAGTCGCTTTTTTGAGACCGTTGTTAAAGGGGTTGCAAAAAAAGCTAAACATTGCTTAGTCATTGCTCGTGGTCCCGCCCACACATCAAAGTACAAACCTTGCATACTTAAAGGTTAAAGCTGTACAAAGACTGTGGGCTCAATGTGGCATCTAAGCCTCACTTTGCCCAGGGCTGCATTAAACTCGGAAATATGCCAAGTTCAGTGTTAAATATCGGTGCTTCAATGACATTGTCAACTTTGTTTAAAAGTTCTGTTTTACCTTGCCATCACCTGACACAAGCTGAGGAAGACCATAATAGGAAGCTGTTTATCATTCGAAACCACAATTACAACCACACATAAGTACTCATATGGAAATTACATTACCGAGAAGTCCAATTAAAATGTTTTTTTTTAAACTATTAAGTCATTGACATGGTTGTCATTTGACATCTACAATTAGGTTTTTCATGTTTGTGAAGGCTTTGCTCTGCGTATTATGTTATGGTGTCTCTGGTGGCTTACCTGGCCGTGTCTGCTCCGTTGGTCATTAGAGTGCTGATCAGCAGTTCGTGGCCAAACTTAGCAGCGACATGGAGAGGAGTATTGCCATATCTATCCACACAATCGATTTCGCCACCTGATGGGATACAATGAATTGCACACATATATTAATGAGGAACCGATGACACAATGTGCAGAATAAGGGTTTGCCCCTCCAGCCCGCTACTTTTGTTAACATTGCTCAATGTTTTCCCTAATTTCTTCATGAACAATCCACATATCTTTACCGAAAAACGGCAAGACATACAGAAGGTGTGTAGCTATGACAGCAGATGATTTAGTGTTGATTCAAATGATGATTTTACTGACTTTTTGAGTGATTGGTAGTTGGTATCCCAGTGAAGTTTTACACAAACATTTCAGTAGATAAAAGGATCGTGCTTCACTTGGTGCCGATACAAAAACGTACACAACTCTTTTTGATGATGTGTGTGAAAATAGCCTTCTTTCTGATTCAAAAATGAAGGGCGCGTACCGTTCTGGATGAGGATCTGAGAGCGGGTGAAACGTCCATGAATGGCTGCCATGTGCAGGGGACTCTTCCCTTCTTTGCTCTGTTGCAGAGAAAGAACAACGGCAAGTTTAGTTCCGACACCAGAACACAATCTTAGTTCATGAACTGATGAGATTACAATGAGTCAGAAAAAAGGGCACTTAGTTCGAGTTCTCCCCAAAAAACAAATCAATATGGTAACAATCACTTGGCTCAATTCTTGTTATATTATTTGTTATTAAAATACTGTCGTTATCAAAACCTTATGGTGTCTATCAACACAATCCTGTAATAAGATTTTCTGATTTACATATAAAGACTTCAACATTTGCAAATTGTACATGCATTTTTCTTCTTTAAATGGACCTTAAAAAAAACACTGTAAACAAATGGTTGTGTTTCTGGAAGACCAGTCTATCCATTAAATGTAAAATTAAACAACCAAATAAATCTTTTGCCATTGGCTCATTTTGGAAATTGCTTCTTGAGTCATCCATTCTGAATTCTGCGGATTTGTGACATCACAATTGGGCCAATTTACAAAATAACCTCCCCCCACGGACTCTCCCCACCCATGAATAGGCAGCTGGGCCAGACGAAAGTTGTTAAAAGTTGCCAGATCTAAGTTGGTTACAGAGTAACCACCCACCGATGAAGCTCCTACTATGAGGACTTAAAATAAATAAATTAATTAATCATACTGACTTGCTGGTTGACATCTGCCCCGTTGTTGACCAACAATTCCAGACAGAGGGCACCATTAGTGGAGACAGCGGCCAGGTGCAGAGGTGTGTAGCCACACCTGTTGGGCTGATTCACGTTGGCCCCGTGGTTGACCAACTCGGTGGCCACTGCCTCCTGCCCCATATAGCACGCCATGTGGAGCGCCGTGTTCCCAAATGTGTTGGGCTCGTCAATCTTGAGAAGGGGTAAAATTTTCACAACGTGCCCACTGTTTTTTTTTTTTTTTTTTCCAAAGACTCAAATTGAAATGGAAAGAAAGACACACAAAAAATAAATAAATAAAACCCTGTCAGTTGTCTTACCTCTGCCCCCATCCTCAGCAGGTATTTTACAATTTCAATGTAGCCACTCGCGGCGGCAGCATGGAGAGGCGTGTAGCCCTGCTTATCCTTGCTGCTCTTGTCTGCCCCACGCGACACCAGCAGCTTCACAACTTCCACATGGCCTACACCACAGCACATGAACATCAAGAGCACTCCGTCAAGCAGGGTACGCTATTAATAATCCATCCCACCCTTCCATTCAAAGTCAGCAAAAGCCCGTTTATAACCATTATTTGTAAACATTAGAAATGATGCCTTTCAAAGATAATCCTGGTCCATTAGTGATTTTCCCTCCCTAATCGGCTCGGAAATAAATTTTAATTACTCGCAATCACAAATCCGTGTATGCTGTCAACAGAGTTCAGATGAGGTGATTGTGATGTGAAACAGAATGATAGCCAATTATTAAGCTAATTTAAGATTACGCTGTTGCCAGTCACTAGTCATGTTGCAATTAAAAAAGACAAAGAATTAGCAACAGCATTAAAGTTATCTGATAAGCTAACAGTTAACCTAGCTTCTTCTATGACAACAACTGCTGCTGCTTTTCTTTGTATTTTCTGTCAATCTGGATGCTGCGCTACCAAACTGCCTGTCAGGGATCAGTCTGATTACTACACCAATCATTTGGTTTGGGGAAGGAGATTCGCAGTTATCGATAAAAATATCATTGTGTGACTGTTGTATGCTGCATTGGTCATCCTGAATTCACAACACACTAAACGCATTAAGCGCATACATGCTGATTGCTTCCTCAGCATGTGTGGGGGTGTCTCGAATTTATAAAAAAAAAAAAAAAAAAAAAAAAAAAAATGGGGGGTGCTCGAATTTATAAAAAAAAAAAAAAAAAAAAAAAAAAGTCACGATGTTAAAGATTGGTGTACCGGTACATAAACCCAGCTTTGTAATAGTGCCAAAATGTTTGTAAAGTTAGGGGCACATACAGGTAATAAAACGTGTGTCAGGAAGGGCATACTGTACTGTCCTGTTGTAGAATTCTTTTTCTCTTTTTTTTAGGTATGGAACCAGGCAAAAGTCATAATGGGAAAGATCCTTGTTTTGTTTATTCTCCTGTACACTGACTAATGACGCCCGACAAACAAATGAAACAAAAGTGAGTTGGTTGACACTACAGCACAAAGATGCAAGATTTTTGTGAGTTACCCAAGTAAGCAGCAGAGTGGATGGGCTGTCGCTCCTTCTTATCGATGGCACTCAGGTTGGCTCCCTTATTCAACAGCAGCTTCACCATCTAGCAGAAATTCCATATGTATTTGTGCTTTGTCGTTTTTGAGGAGCATTTCTTGTGCCCAGCTCTCTGTAAGTGTGCCTCACCTCCTGGAACCCACTCTGAGCGGCATGGTGCAGTGCAGTTCTGCCGGTGCGATCCGCCATGTTCAGGTTGCTCAGCTGGCTCAGCAAGGCCTCGGCGCATCGCGTGGCCCGGTTGGCGGCCGCCACGTGCAGCGCCGTTTGCCAGAACTTGTCTCGGGCGTTGGCATCCGCACCGCGCCTCAGCAGCAGACCCACTGTCCTCTGTAGACACAAAGGGCACTTTGTGCTGTTTCAACTCAGGTGTATTTCCTTGAGTTGACAGTTTTTGTTGTCTCTCTATAATTTCCCCTTCCTGAACATACAAGTGTTCTTGCTGCCATTATCATTAATTCTAACATTCAAATGGAAACTTTCACATGGGCAAACATAAATTGCGATCATTATTGAGGTCATTTTAAACCAATGAAAAACGGTTATGTTAACACAAAATGGCAGTCACGCACAAAAATAAAACAAAGCAGCAAAGGCATATATGCTTTGTGGAAACAATTAGTCACGTTTTAGTTTACTGTAGTTGACCATCTACTACTACTTCAAGAAACTCTACCCGCGTCACACTACGGTCATCGGTGAGCTAAAATATGCACAATCATTGGTTGTCTCGGAAAGACTATCGTGAGGAATCATCGTGTAGTGTGTTGGGAGTGCGCTCAAAGAAAATTCCTAATTTTGTCACGGTGTTTGTTTAAACTTGAGCTATGGGAAAGTTTTAGCAACCCGAAAAGTTGCGTTGGGAGTGCACTTAAAGAAAATTCCAAATTTTGTCAACGTGTTCAATCAACTGTGATCCAGAGACCAGCATCACGAAGTACTTTAATGCAAACTCTTTAAATTCCTGTGAGCTCTTGACGCTGTACCATTTTGAACAGAAATGAGGAATTTCAAACTGAATGGACCTTTTTCTAACCAAATTTGGGACAGCTGACTAGGCTTCTTTGAGAAGTCAGACTTTGAGCATAACAGCCAACCAGTAACCTTTTGAATAACTATCCCTTGCTATCATCATGAGAGAATTATATATTTGACAATTTTTTTTCTTTTTTTTGTAAAACAGAACATTTAAAACATTAGACAGCAACAATAGTTATATGTTAGCATTACAAATATCATTTTGGTTAAAGAGCTCCTATGTAACGGTGCGTTAACGTGAGCAAAGGGAAGCAAAAAATGTTCATTACTTAAGTTAATTTAGAGCAACTGTGGTTTACATCATGGGTCTCATAAATTATTCTCACCACTGTAAATACTTATAACACATTACATCAGCAGAGAAATTGCACAGGTATCACATGATGAAGGTTGCAAGTTGATATTACACATTTTGATGTTTAAAAAAAAAAATGAAGCATGTTACTTACTTCATTCCTAGAAGCAGCTGCCCTGTGCAAGGGGGTGAGCCATACATGGTCTTTTGCGTTCACATTGGCACCTGAGGGTAAAAAGGTATCAATTACATTGAGGCTGAGTAGGATTTGACAGTTTGGGGTTCAAAAGAAGATAAAACAGTATCGTTTCTGTGGTGCCTCAAATGTTTTCCGATAACGCCAGGGGTTACAGTTTTTCCTGTGTGGCGAGCTGGTATGTGTGCAACGGTTAATCGTCAAGTGTCTCGGTGCGAGTTGCTGACTGTCATTTGTTAGCAAAGTTCACACAGGATGGACTGGGCCGAGATGTATTGAAAGCATGTAGGCGGGGGGGTGGTTGACAACAAAAAGTATTTGGTCACCCTATGTGTAATGTGTATTTTCACTTGTGGGTGGGTTTGGAACACATATAAATCAGGATGTATTGTATTGTATTGTATAATCCCCTATAATGGGGATAAGTGCAGTGTAGTAAACCAAAGCACATGTCTAACCTGATTCAATGAGGAGGTCCATGATATGAACATCACCCATGCATGCAGCAGCATGAAGAGGCGTACGGCGCTCTTGGTCCTGATCAATTAGAAAAAGAATGAAAATCCCATTCCATGGCCTTCATGATCAGAATCGTGTTGAACAACAACAAGCTCTGCTCCTGTGCACACCTACCAGTGCATTGACATCCTCCTTTTTGTGCAATAATAGTTGTACTTCGTCAGCATTACGGTTGAAGATGGCCTGGACCAGAGGAGGCTGAAACACACAAATACAGCACAGTCACAATCATAAGGAGGAACATGGGGCGGGATGGTCAAAGACACCTCTTGGCTATTTCCATTGCATTAAGCCTTGCTTACAATTGCTCTCATTTTAATCATTTTTTCTCGAGTCTATAATAATGCGACGCATGTGAAAGTGCACCCTAATTTCATTGTACATGCACTCTACAGTGACTACACAGTAAAGGTTTCACGTTCCATTCTAACCATGCGCTAACGTTGCAGCAAACCGCATTCCATTCAACTCGGATTAATCGATCCGTGATGTATTGATTTGCCTTTGTTTTCTACTGCCCTACATCAGCCATAACATTTTAGGCGACCTTACACGAGATATTGGGGCTAACGCAAAAAGACGACATCCCCAGCAAATAGATAGATCCCTCATGGAGGCCTACACTACATTGGGCCTGAGTGTCTCTCTTTCTGGTTTCGTCGAAAGGATTTGGTTAGCCGCGAGCTAAAGCGCAGATCCGGAATCATTACGGGGAATTCAAATACCGCCCCCACCCAAAAAGAAATGAACGTCGTGATAAATACAACGCCGCCATCAACCCGATGAATCTGTGGGATGCGTATAAACCGAGGATTTTAAAACGAGTCAATCTTTGGAATGGGCGCCTTGATGCGCAGAGGAGCTTCCCAGCAAGTAGACGGCGCCCCTCGTCGGCGTACCTGGTCTGCAATGTTGAGTACTCCCATCTCCCGAACTCAGCCGGGACGGAGCTCCTTCATGGGGCTGAAATTTAGAGGTATAGTGCGGCGCGCTGTTGTTTCCACCCTTTAAATGACATCCATCGCCAGCGGAGAACACGAATGCGACTCCCTCTCGATCTGACACTGTTGTTGTCTGCATCTGATGTCGGCTTGGACGATGCTGCCTGCCGCTGCCCAGCCTCGCGCTGGTCCGCCTACAGGCTCGGCGGGCGCTAGACGCCTGTTGGTCATATGGCGACATCGTGTGGCCAAAGCGTGTAACTGTATACCAGTTTAACGATGCCTGCGTGCACCCACAGCGATCCGGCGACAGGTAGAAGCAATCCATTTCAGAAAACTGGAGAAGGAGCATATGGGTGCCTTTAGACCAGCATGATTTTTCAAGTTGTTCATCATGGCTATTTTTGTCCGCGCACATCATCTGTAATTTTAACTTGAAATATTGTTTTTTTTTAATTGCTGCTCTTATTGCATTACGTGTTGGATCAACATCAATTCTTGCCATTAGTAATGCAATGTAAAGGTATCATTGACACTTGTGCCAGAATGTGCAGAGTTATCAAATACATATGACAGCCACACAGATAGAATGACTAATTAATATAGATGTGTAAAAAATATTAAATTTACCAAATTGTGACACAAGCTCAATGCCGGAGACATACTTTGTTTTCTTTGTACCACTGTTCATTTTTTGTTTTTTAAATATTGCTAATAACGCAGAGATGTGTAACCTATTAGCAATAACACAGATTTTTACGAAGCATTTCTTGTGCAGTGACGGAAAAACAGAAAAACTCCCTCTGAGCTCGCTCGTGTAAACAAAGCCACCTCTTGGTTGTACTCCGTAAATGGCATGAATATGACGGTAAAATCCTGTGAATAACCTCCCTCTTCATTAAAAAGCATTTTTTTCGGCTTATATTTATTATTATTATTATTATTATATGGTAGATTGTATGATACGGTCCTTCACTTTGCTGGTATGCTTTACTATCAGTAGATGATATGAATCCTATAAACTGAAATCACACATAAAACAATTCACTCTGCAAAAAAATGTGTATTATATATATTTTTAATTCAAGCAAATTACTAAAATTGGAACAATATTCAGGAAGATTTATCACAAAGCTATAATGTCATAATTCCCATTGAATACAGTAGAAAAGATTATGTACCGTAGCGGTATCACCAATTTATATGTTAAAAAAAACAACTGCATAGTTGAAGCCCACAGGAACTGTCCTTGGCTTGTTGACAAGGCAGCATACTTGCAATATGGCCCTTTTTGTGCATGTATATTTCAAAATTTTTACTTAAAAAAGCACAATTGAGGCAATGCTAAATAACTGAGTTTACAGGGCTAGGATGCTGCATCTTCGGTGCCACAACAATCATGCGTACCTCTGAACGACGATGCACCTCCTCATGCATCACCAGAATGATTGTGAAAAATAATCGACAACATGTAAACACGTAGGGCTGGTGGACGATCATATACCTGTCTTTCTCCAAAAACAACCAAAACGTTTGATAGATACTGTATACATGCGTAAATAATCATACCTGCAACGCAAAAGTGTTTTTATAGTAAATACATCATTAGACGTTTCAGAATCCAGAATTGAAAGTTGATTTGGGTGGTCACAGTCAAAAGAAAAATAGAATAAACTTGCACAAGAGATACTGTTACAAGAACAATCGTAACATTACAAGAATAAAATTGTAATATGAGGAAAAAAGTTGCAATATTACAAGAAAATATAGGTCTGCGGCTAGTATGCATGTTTAAGATCATATTACCTTCAACATTTTGATTCCATTCCCATGTTAAAATGCATTTTGGTAAAAATTCATCATTTCTGCAACTACATAATTATGAGTTCATTTTTTTTACAGACTTTTCTTTTATGCATGGGCCAGAATTGATGCAATTGCGTGACGCTCCAAGGCAAAAAGGGTTATTTTTAAATGAAATAAATTATAAAGATTACATATGTGTTTATATACAAATTATAAACATTCAATATATTTACACTTGCATTTATTTTAAAAATACCAAATCATTTGCCATGCATGAAGTGCTTGGGAGGGCTTCCTAAAAGGTAGTCTGAAGCAGAAACATGTGATCAGTGGTAATCTTAGAAAGCCAGCACGAGTACCATTAAGATAAATAAACTTTTCTGAATCTGAATCTGAATTAATTCCAGTGTATGGTTGTGCTAGAAATGCACACAAAATAGAAGGGGCCAAAATAATTAGAGAAACATTAATGAAGAATCACCTGTTTTTAATTCAAATGCTTGAAACTGGTACAGTTTAAACCATGTGAAAAAAGTCACTGTCGTACCTTTGCACTGTGGATGGGAGTAGAAAAATGTCATTGGCACAAACGTTTTTAGCTGCAAAATTCTGCTCCTCTCCATCCTGAGATGAACGTTTATTATCAGTAGCCATTTGTTTTGCCACAACTGATTTGAGACAGACCTTGCCTCCAGTTGCAGGGTGTCAAAAATAAAACGTACAAGAAAGCCAAAGGTTTGCAACTGAACTCATCCCACTGATGGCCGTCTGAAGATCAGAATTAAAAAAAATAATAATAATAAAATAAAAAATGGAAGACGACAAGCCAGCGTTGAACAGATAACGGTGGAAAAAAATTCTCAGTGCTACTTTGCAGCAATGTTTATTATGTGTCAACGTCACCAACTTCAGGAAAGAGGGCCCACTTCCTGGGTGACACACACACACGCACGTACAAAAACAAAAGACGTGTATGAGAGCACGGTTGGATTCCTCTTTTGGAACACTGTGGTCTCCATGGCAGTCGCTTTGGACAAAACTGGAAGTTGCTGCTGATTGGACTGAAATGTTTCCGCCATTGAGGCTGGTTTTACATTTTTCATGCACACACTGCCTCACAAGTTCTCCCCAGGCTGGTACTGAGGCTCGGTGGATGTGAAGTAATCCTCCAGGAAGCCCTGCAGATACTCAAAGGTGGGCCTCTCCTCAGGCTCTTTCCTCCAGCAGGTCATCATCAGCTCGTGCATAGATTCCGGGCACTCTGCAGGGCACGGCATCCTGTAACCGCGCTCCACCTGGTCCAGAACCTCGCGGTTCACCATACCTGGAAGACGGTGAGAACACTCATGACACACACACTCCGCCACAGTTTCAAAGACTTGACTGTCCCACTTCAAAGAGAAAGTGAATAAACCCCTTGTACTTTTGCAAATACGTTCTACTACCGTATTTTCCGCACTAAAAGCCGCACCTAAAAGCCTTCCATTTTCTTAAAAGCTCACAGCGCGCCTTAAAATCCGATGCACCTTGTGTATGGTCATTACGGTAATACATCAACCCCCAAATGGCTCCTTGCTAGAGACATGCTTACAACGCAGAGTTCAAACTTAAGGCGATCGGTTTCGCAGGTGAACACGGAAATAGAGCAGCGGCAAGAGAGTTCAACGTTCATGAGTCAATGTTATAACTTGCTGTTGGTTAAGTGAACTGTGTTGCTGCTTTATTAAATAAGTTTTACTGACATCTGATCCGTCGCTATATATATATATCAGGGTGTAGTGCAGTGTAGTGTTCTGTTGGCATTTCCATGAGCGTAGCTCCATCTAGTGGATGCATTGTAGATTGCGTTTTATAAACGCGGTGCGTTCAATATATGAAAAAAATTACAAAATAGGCCATTCATTGAAGCTGCGCCTCATAATCCAGTGCGCCTTTTAGTGTGGAAAATACAGTAGTTTTAGTGGGACAGCAAAGAAAAATAAACAATCCAACTTTTCTACAATGAAGAGTAGCCCGTGTATAACAATTTAGTCGTCAGCTGGTCTAACAGTGTATATTGACTGTAATATAGTAGACAGACTGTTGAAGGTCAGCGTGTGTAGTACGTGAAATAAGACATTTATTTGCAATAGAGAGAGACAAAGAACTAAAAGGGAACATAGTGTAATTTAATGTAATCATAAGTTATTTATTTATTTTTCTTAACTCTCCACATGTAGAGAACAGCCAAAAGGTGGTGGCATTGCCTCACTTGCCCACTCTGACCGCATGTCCCTGGCGCTAAAAACGAGCAAACTGGAAAAACATGACCTAAATAAACATGGCTTGCCTGGATAGGGCACTCTTCCTTTGGTGGCCAGTTCGGTCAGCAAAATCCCGAATGACCAGACATCAGATTTAATGGTGAAGCGTCCGTAGTGAGCCGCCTCGGGAGCTGTCCACTTGATGGGGAACTTGGCTCCTGCACAATAAGTTACAACACACAGTGTCGCCTTACATGAATGAATGCCAGCATTCCCGTTGCAGAAATCCCAGCTGCAGGTCGACTCCTTCTACTGACCTTGTCTGGCTGTGTATTCGTTATCCTCGATGAGGCGAGCCAAGCCAAAATCAGCCACTTTACAAACCAGGTTATCTCCTACTAGGATGTTGGCGGCTCTTAGGTCTCTGTGCACGTAGTTCATCCTCTCCACATAAGCCATCCCTGAAGCAATCTGACCAAGAAGCAGGACCGTAAACTAAACCAGAATACTAATTTCCCCCCTAAACTACAAATGTCGTGGTTGACCCCAGTGTATCCCGTTGTGCAACTCCAATTGTGTGTAATTTCTTATCCTTGTCTGTTCTTTGAATGGTGATACAAAAATGGCATAAAAGGGAAGCTATAACCATTCTTGGCTCAATGAAACTGACAAATGATACCAAAAAAAAAAAAAAAAAGTATATTGCTATATAATATATGCTGACCTGTGATGCCATGTCAACCAGCTGAGGGAGTCGGAGCATCTTGCCCATTTCACCTTTGAGGAAGTCCAGTAAGCTACCTGCAGGCAGGTACACAAAGAGTGAGAGAACATTAGAACACAGCTTAAAGGTTTTTATGGTGTTAAAGGGGAAGTCAAGTCACAAATTTTAGTCACCAATATGTTCTTTGCAGCCCCACTAGTCTGAACACAGTCTTCCAAATAATATAGCGTGCGTCTAATGTGAATTCAGCATTAAAAGCCACCTAATTTTAACCATCTCATGGGCGGCCATTTTGCAAGTTGTTGTCGAGTGATACTCAGGTAACAACCAATAATGGCTCACCTGTTTTCTGAGTTTGGTCATAAGATCGAAGCAAGCTGATGTTTGGCTGGCATCTGTTGAATCTAACTAATAAAGTAACTTGGAGCACAACTTGGTTACTTTTAAAATAAAATTCTCTCTCTCTCTCATTTATAGGATTGTGCAGGCTAAAATTAAGAGTCCACGTATCTACGTAGTTGTTGGCTATGTGCTCATATAAAAATGACACTATAGATTTATGACAATGAGTGGAGGAAACAAGCTTATAATACAAACAATACTTTACACTCATTATACTTCTATTTGAAGCAAAGTCGTTTGGACGTGTCACATCTGTCACAAAGTCGTCTGTCGCTCTCCCAACTCTTTTGACTAGGCTTCTTTATATCAGGCTATGTAGATGTATTTTAGGAGTATATTTTGGCTCGTCTCTCCCTCCAAACCATCTATGAAGTCAAACCCGCCGCCCTGCCGCTGGCTGTAGGGGAGGATACGTGTCTGTGCGTGCCTGCAGTTCTGATAGTGTTACTCACTCAATCATTTATATTTTTTTCTTAAACAGAAACCTAATATTGTGTAGTATAAAACTTAGATGCTATGTTGTATTTGGCAATACGTTTGCATATTTGGTTAATTTGTAGCTTTTTGATCTTTAAATGTTTAGAAAATGAATAAAAACGATCTTTTTCACCTGATAGAGGATCAGATGAAAATCAGATGATCGGATCATTTCAGGACATCTTTATATCACAATTAGGCAGAAAACTAATCAACATTCAAGTGCTCAAGTCCATGCCAACCTTTTCCCATGTATTCAGTGACAATGTAGATGGGCTCCTCTGACACCACGGCGTAAAGCTGGACGAGCTTTTCGTGCCTCAGCTTCTTCATGACCTGGGCCTCCTCCAGGAAGGCTTCCGGGGACATGGTGCCAGGTTTCAGAGTCTTGATTGCCACTCGGGTTGTACCGTTCCACGTTCCTAATAAAAGACGCAAGTGATATCAAATATGACCAGCCATCCAGTAAAAACCTAAGTAACAAAAAAACAAACTCTTCGACAGTGAGCTTTCAAGTCCCTAAGTTGCCAGAAACAACTTTTTTTCTCTCCCCAGTCTTTAGTTCAATGTCAATACCGAGCTAAATAAAAGCCATGCTTACCCATCCAAACCTCTCCAAAGCAGCCCTGTCCGAGCTTGAGGTCGAGACGAAGGGACTCTCTGGGGATCTCCCAAGCATCTTTGGCTAAGCCCTGAGTCTGAGGCTTCAGCACTGGACAGATGTCTGTCAGACTGTGACACAACCCATCAGCGTGTTCTGGAGGCATGAGACAACAGTGTTGCTGTTAGCAGGTCAGTGATAATATTCTGCTAAATACACAAGGAATCACGTGGAGTGGCTAAACGTACAAACAGTATTAGAAGTCTGTGGAAACAAAAAATCATTAAAATCAGCAATGGATTTACTTTGACAAGGAATAATAATTCCTGAAAGTGAAGGTTGGTTGAACATTTTGACTCATAGAGAGTCTAAGAAAAAAACCGAATCACCCTTTAAACCTCAACTACTTCTCCAATCCAAGTTGAGAGAATTTCCTGGTGTGACAAAGACTGTTTTAAAATTGCTCCCTGCTTGGTCATTCAAAAGCAGTTTTCTGTTTGGTCAAAAGCTCGGATGCTGTTCGTGATCTTCTGGTGATACCAGTACATCTTTTCGACACCAATGCTCTCCTATCCATTCTCTAACTCACTTTTGATGTCATTTTGAAAAAAAGAGTTTGCGCTTAGAAACCACTCTTCATCCACACGACTCTTCTTGTACACTTCAGCACTTTGGCATCTCTTCTACCAGCCTAGCACATTGGCGCCATCTTGTGGCAGTACAGAAGACAGTCAAGTAAGAGTTGCTAGGCCTGTCCATGTTCGCCACGGTTTACACGGTAGCAGAGGCTACAGGAGGAGCAGCCTTCGAAGGATCCAGCCTGCTTAGCGTCCTTCGGAAGGATGCAGCCGATGAATTTGGACACAGCTATAGATACAGTACAAGACTAAGTCATGATGATGATTCAATGAAGCTAATTGACTCACTGCGATAGTGATTGACAAGCTGCTGCAGGGTGCTAAACTGTGTGCGGGATGTGATGTAAAAGCCGCCGCTGTCCAACTTCCTGATCTTGTAGTGTTTCACGTTCAGCCCCTTGGTGTTGTCATAGTCCAGCACAGACAAACAATAGGCACCTGCATAGAGACACATGACACGACAGAAATGTAACATAACCACTGTGGTTATCTCATCAAAAAAGACTAACAATAATCCCAAACACTTCCGTCTCACCTGTTTGAATGAAAAACGACATAAGCAAATGAGGCAGTGCAATACTGTGGTGCCAAGTTCTTGTGACGGGCAATTAAAAAGTAGTAAAACCAATGTAATTTAACCTTGCTAACACAGTAAGATAATGTTTTCCCCAAAAATGTTCATGTTTTTCAGTTTAAATACTTGTTCAAAGGTTCATTCAAAAAGTTTTGTCCAAGGCTTTCCTCTTCCTATCCGCCATTTTGGAAACTACATCATTGTTAGATGCCTATAGAAGCTGATGACTGTAATTGAGCTTTTGCGGCATTTAATCAGGTGCGCTTTGTAATCCGGAAATTACGGTATATGTAAAATAGTATAGTAGTAGCATGTATACTGTGTGTATATCTATATATGCATCAGAGAGAGAGAGAGAGAGAGAGAGAGAGAGAGAGAGAGAGAGAGAGAGAGAAAGAGACAGAGGTTATAGCCGAGAATCCACTGCAAATATCACCGGCAATGTGGTCTTAACGCCACCAGGGGGCAATCTCAATCAAGTCAAATGTCTGAATTACAGCAGCCCCCCCCCCCGTGCAATACTGTGGTGCCAAGTTCTTGTGACGGGCAATTAAAAAGTAGTAAAACCAATGTAATTTAACCTTGCTAACACAGTAAGATAATGTTTTCCCCAAAAATGTTCATGTTTTTCAGTTTAAATACTTGTTCAAAGGTTTATTCAAAAAGTTTTGTCCAAGGCTTTCCTCTTCCTATCCGCCATTTTGGAAACTACATCATTGTTAGATGCCTATTGAAGCTGATGACTGTAATTGAGCTTTTGCGGCATTTAATCAGGTGCGCTTTGTAATCCGGAAATTACGGTATATATAAAATAGTATAGTAGAAGCATGTATATTGTGTGTATATCTATATATGTATCAAAGAGAGAGAGAGAGAGAGAGAGAGAGAGAGAGAGAGAGAGAGAGAGAGAGAGAGAGAGAGAGAAAGAGACAGAGGTTATAGCCGAGAATCCACTGCAAATATCACCGGCAATGTGGTCTTAACGCCACCAGGGGGCAATCTCAATCAAGTCAAATGTCTGAATTACAGCACCCCCCCCCCCCCCCCCCCCCCCGGGCCACGGCACAGCTTTACCTTCTTCATGTATCAAGTGGGCGATAATGGCCCGTGGTTGTTCAGGCCTCAGCTCCTCACTGACCTAATTCTGTCGGGCTTACCAAGCCAGCCAGGAAGGACCTCCACATTGCTCCTTCTCACAGTCATATCCGCCTCTGACATCTCTAAACTGTCCCCGTTTCTCATTTTAAGCAGGGCCGAATAACCAGAAATAGGACACACACACACATACATAAACTGCTGAACCCAAAGGGAGAATGTGGCCCATCAGAAGCATCTTCAAACATGTCCTACAGGCATCTCATCAGACCTTATCCCATCTGCCTATGTGAGGCCCCCCACAGCTGAGAAAAAAAAATAGCTTTATGTTTCACCCTTCTTGTTTGAACATGTTTGGACAGACCTGTCATGGAATTCAAGCGGATCAGCATGAACTCGAAATGAAAAAAAAAATGATGTGGCTATTAAGAGCGACAACTATTCATTGGTTCGTGTTTTCTTTTTGTCCTTTCAATTGTAATTACTGGATGTTTTAATTTCCAATCCATCTATCCATTTTCTTATCGTGCCTGTCCTCAAAAAGTTTGTGTGTGAGCGCAGCCCCTACACGGCTCTTTGCCAAGGTAAAATGGTGGAACTGTTCTGAGCCCCAAAGCTGTCGCAATCGCGCCAAAATTTAAAGGGCTTGCTCACAGACAAACACTCGAAATTGTCCCTAGGTGTGAACGTGAGCGCAAATGGTTGTTTATCTATGTGTGCCCTGCGATTGGCTGGCAACCAGTTCAGGGTGTACCCCGCCTACTACTCGAAGACAGCTGGGATAGGCTCCAGCATGCCCGCGACCCTCGTGAGGATAAGCGGATTCGAATATGGATGCTTAAAGACACATTTGGGGAACTAGGCAATTCACCTAAAAAATGACTGGTTGTGTAACTTCAAATTTAATGGGTGGGCATGCAGTCCGGAGATAAATATAAAAGCAATTAAAAATAATATTTTGTAGACCCGCTGTGGACCAAAAACTAGTTGTGGGAGAGGTGTCAGTTTACTTCCTAACCACTGCTGAGGTGTTTCTGCAAAAGGCATGAAATCCAATCCAACGCACTATTGAGTGTTGGCCAACATATGTGTGAAGGGTTTTAAATGACCCTTGAGGCATTGCTTTTTGTGATGTGGGCAAACTATGGCAGGCATCAAGTCATACCGAGTCCAGGTCTGCACCAATTACAGTAGAAAAATAAATAAATACGTCACATTTGCAAACACTGGTAAAATGGGCGAAGAAACAACATTGTCGCTTTGAATGCTTCATCCACGCTGCCTGACACACAACCGTGTGAATTGTGTAAGCTGTATATGGAAACGCGCCGCCAGACACACACAGCGTGTATTCCGTCTGACTACACCAATGACAGAGCGCTTTTGCTGCATTTTTATCCTGAAGTACAGATATTTGTAAATTATGCTATAACGTTATTTTAGCCTCCTAAAATGCACGATATATTACTGGTGCCAGTATTTGGTGCAACACTAATCTGTACTTTAAATAGCTTTTAAGACTTGAAATGCACATCCAAGTCAAGACATTCAGTATTCATTTGCAGCATGACTAAACATCCATTTGCTAAATGCCATATTTTTGCAAAGGGGAATTTTATCGTGCCACCACTATATTTCAATTTGTGTCAATGGACTCGGGATTTGAAAGCAAACTAAAAGGGAGAAATCTAAAGACAAATCAAGACAGCAAGCAGATTGGGACGAGTATATTCAGTCACCTGTCCCTGGAGTACAAACATTGACACATACAACAGTGTGGAGAAAGCAAGTCAGAGTTCACTGGAACGTAAATCACACAGTCTGACACCGTCTCCATGTAATGCAAAAACATTATTAATAATGCATAGGGAACTTGTTTACAACATGTTGCAAGACTCCCCATTTTAACTCATTTGCGAAACTACATGCTGGTACCGATTTAGCTGGCAACAGAGTTCAAATACACTCACCAATTCACTATTTAATGTCTACGTATGAACGGCAGTTACAGTTGTCACCTGGTTATGTCCTGAGGTGAAAAGGGAGGCATCTACTATAAACTGGATGGAATGTACTGTATACTTTAAACAATACTTTAAATAGACATCCATGCATCCATTTTCTAATCCGCTTATCCTTACAAGTTATGCGCGGGGTGCTGGAGCCTATCCCAGCTGTTTTCGGGCAGCAGGTGGGATACATCCTGAAGTGGGTGCCAGCCAATCGCAGGACACACATAGACGAACAACCATCTGTGTTCACACTCACGCTTAGGGACAATTTAGACTGTTCCATTAACCTATCATGCATGTTTTTGGAAAGTGGGAGGAAACCGGAGTACCTCGAGAAAACCCATGCGGGCATGCGGAAAACATGCAAAAACGCTACACAGAAAGGCTGGAGCCGGAATCTAACCCTCTACCTCTGCACTGTGAGGTCGACATGCTAACCAGTCAACCACCGTGCTGCCCTTTAAATAGACAATAACAATACAAGAGGAATAACCAAATGCAGCAGGAGATCAAGTCAAGAAATTTAAAATATAACCTAGCAGTGCCAAGTCGAATTATGATTGTGACATTTGATTCTAGAAATTAATTCTATTTCCTATGGAAATGTTTTTTTTTCCAAATCCGAATTGGATGTCGACAAGCATCCCCCGAACAGACCGCGTTTGACCTTTGAGCATCTCTTGTGGGAAGGTTTCGTATGTACTGTGACTTACTCTGCGATTCCCTTCCATTCCAATCGGACATATTGTGAGTGACGGGGAGGAGGTGGGGGGGTGAAGCTCACCTTTGGTGGTCTCGCTTTCTCTCACAAGGAACGTTCCTCTTCTATTCTCCAAACTGAGCAGCAGTCTCTCGGAGTCGCGGCGGGTTATCTTGCCAAAATACCACCTGATTTGGTCAAAGAGGAAAATGAGAGAAGGCACAGGAAGGAGCGGGTTGGTGAAGGCCCAAAGAGTTGAGGCTAAAGACGAGAAGAAGCAAACACATATGCACACACAACGCCATGACAACAGCTGCTTACCTGGACTCTGCAGTCAGTGTGAGATGACTGCAGAAGAAGGAAGGCAAAAGGTGAGATAAAGAGACGTGAAAGAAGGTTAGTTTAACATATCAAGACTGATGGTTCCCTCTTGGTGAGAACGAAAGGAGGAAGGAAGCGTTCTGTACGGACAAAAGTATGGGGACACATTCTGCCGGCAAGGCGAAAAAGATGAAGAAATCTAGTTATTCTCCTTTTGGAGCTGAACCAGCTTCTCCTTCTTCTGGAAATTCTTTCGATAAGACATTGTGTGGACATTTGTCCATTCGTGATCTCAGACGGAAATGATGAGGAGAGGGCCTGCTGGCACTGCTTCCATCTCTCTTATCCCAAGGGTGTATTCTTCCACACCAAACTCATCCAAGCATGCCTTGATGGGCTTTGCTTGGAGCACTGGGAAGCCCTTCCCCAAACCTGTCCCACAAAGCTGGAAGAAGAGTTCAGTTACCCAAAATGTCTAACTGAGGCCCGCTGCATACCCTGCGACGTGGCCGAACCCAACTGAACTGTGCGCAGTGTGTGGGCTTCGGTAACTACTTTTTATGAATGGTCGACCGTCGGCAGACCGTTTGTAGTTTTGTTATATAATCTGAATTATAGATAAACACTGTCCTATCGCAGATTTCGTGACCAATCAAAATTCACATCTAATTTTTTTCTGATACAAAGGGAGATCCACCAGGCCACCTCCAAGCGTTACCAATACAATACATAGATAACCGTGTGTGTATGTGTGTGTGTCTGTGTGTGTGGTGTATAATATCATTTACAATAATACTTATTAATATTAATATATTAATTCATTAATTCATTTATTAATATTCATGAAAAAATCTCTGTGGCTAGAAAGCAAAGCGTGGAGAGTCTCTGTCATCTACTCCAGTCAACGAATGGCACACTTATTGCCAACTGCCTTTCAAAAATCCCCACTGCCGCCTTTATTTCTTAGCTATTTCCTCTCCTTTTGTTATTACAGTATCGCTACAGCGGGCAGAGCAATCTGCTTCTTCCTTGGAAATTGTGGCAAATACCAAAACAAACCACGTTATTTGCAGTTAAAAAAAATACAGTTGAAAAGGGGTACCCAACAGCTGGTCAAAGGACCACTTGGTACCAGCTACAAACTCGCACGAACGCACACACACACACGCGCGCGCGCACACACACACACACACACACGTGCTGTTGAACAATATGTTTTGTTTTGTCTTTTTTTTGTATCAATGACATTTCAAGAGTGTGTTTCACCAGCCCCTGCCCGACTCGTTCCGCCCAGCAATTCCAAACATTTTTTTAAAAAATTCATGAGTCAAACTGCTCAAACAGGTTCAAAACAAGCAAAAATAGCTGCGGTAGCCTATTTGATGTGTTTATGAACGCATGCGTCGGGAGAGTGAGGGGAGCACAGAGTGCAGAAGCTCAGCCCCAGGGTCTTCATAATCGATCGGGGAAGACCCGGGGGTGTCAATGGCGAAGACACGAGCTGCCTCGATCAATGCACAAGCCACGAATCAAACTTTGGCTGCCTGTCAGGCTGCTGGTGATAACATCGTTGGCTCAGCCCAGGGCCGGAGTTATTCATGAAAACTTTAGGTAAACACTATAACCCACTATGGACAGTCACAGCTGCCCCATTCTATATACTAATATACATATCTGTATTCTTTTTATTTACTCTCTTTAGTGCCATATTACCATCTGGCTGAGACTGTTCGTGAAACCCCCCCAAAACCCGAGATCAACGGAATGGATGAACTGGTCTGAAGCCAAAAAAAAAAAAAAAAAAAGGTTCGGGATCATTGCAGGAGAGAATAATGTACTGTATGTGGATCCTCAAAATGTTGTTTGTCAATTTGAACACAATGAGACTCGGTCCATTGCGACGACTTGGTATGTGTGCGAGGGTCACTCGCCAGGTGTGAATTGCTGACTATAATTTGTTTGCGATTGTCCAGTTCAGTCATGTTCGGCCGCATCGCTCAGTGATTAGTCACCGTAAGATGAAGAATTAGGGTTCAGGGACAACTTCTGAATGATTAATTAATACATTAATATGTGTCTCAGTACCTTTGTCCATATCGTGCATCGCTGTAGCAAACAGAAATTGTTTGACATGCAGTAAGCAAGATTAGTCACTCACAGATTGAAGAGTAATTATGAAACAGTTCATCAGGTTCACGTGTTTGGCTTGTCATAAGTGACAGATTTTTTTTTTGTGTGGGTTTTTTTTTTTCACTTTGATGACATTTGGCTCCAGTCATTTGGCACATCAATGACTTTCCATTTACAAAATTCTTGAGTGGGATGCTTTAGTGCTCATTAAAATGAGTGCAAGGGTGGCATGCAAGACAGATAAAAGTGTCGATAAATTCAATAGAAAAATGCTATACTCTTCTGCCTGGATAGAGTCGGATGGAGCCACATAATTGCTGGGAATATATCCACTCTCTCCGGTGGTCAGGGAGCGTGCCAGCCACCAGTCTCCCTCTCTGCAACGACAACACACATCACATGAGACACCAAAAACACACACAATGACAACAATGGGCAGTGTTACTATTTGGGACAAGGTTGCGGGCATTCAAATTCTGATTATCATGCGCCGGCAGAGATGGGCATGATAAATATCGTAGGTTTTTGAGCATTAAGAAATTCGTCAATGGGGGTTTTATTAATTTGCCATTTCGTTTTAATCAACAGGCTTAAGTTGAGCAGTCGCTACATCTGGAAGCAATTGAGGTGTCATGGACTTGAATACCAAGAATCAGTCGATTGGTGCCATTAAATTAGACCCCATTAGTTTGTTGCCTCTCTCTCTCATATACATTAATCAATATATATATATATATATATATATATATAAAATGCCCATCCCTAATTTTGACACAATGGGACATGCAAACGTGGGTAATATGACAACGGAACGAGACTGTGTTTGTATGCTGATCATGATTCGGGAGCAGATCCTGAAGCTTTGCAGCACTGCAATGACCATCTACAGTGCTGAAAAGTCAAAGACAAACGTGACTGGACTACAGAGGGGCGGGGCCAGTGTGGTTTGGATAACATTATTATGCACACTTTGGGTAAGGCAAGCAAACACATCGGCAGGCGGCACATCTAGGATGCCTTCACACACACACACAGAGAGTTGTCAATCAGTTGAGTTAGTAAAGTTGGTACGTTTACCCCCGGTTGTTTTCCCCCCCCCAAAGAGTCAATATTCCAAGTGAACCAAAATACTTCATAACAAACCACGTAACCGTTACGTGAATGTAAACAGGAATAAGGTTCCCTGTTGGGACTAGGAAGTGAGACAAGGCTAATAAACACAACATACAGTATTTTGTCCCTTATTGATAACCCCCAAAAATGATATGCACAATATCGCAATATGCAGCACACCAGCAAATAGTCAAGTGGAAGATGTAATCCCTTAATTAGCATGGTTCGATGTTCAGTTTGTTGGGTCTGCACTTGGGTTTGATCACTGCGTTTAGACTTCACACCAAGGGGGAAACTACACGAGAGTTAAATTAAAACTGACTCAATGGCACTTGTGTGAAAGCACCCTTGAATGTAACTCCATTGCAGCTTCACAAACCTGCAGTTCACTTTCCTCCTAGAAAAATGTGATGGATGAAGAAGAGAAATGATGGGGCGGAGGTGGGGGGGGGGGCATGGAGGAGTGGGGGTTGAGGGCGGAAAGAAAAGTGATAGTTATAAGCAGTGACAGAATCGCATAGCAGCAAGTATGACAAAACCATTAAGCGGACATTAATCAATATCACAATATCAACGTGACAATCTGCAAGTCATTGAGTACAACAATCCTCTAGGGAGGAAAATTAAGAGCTGGACTCTGGCTTGACTGGACCATTATCTTATCATTCTTGAGCCGATGCCGATCCAGGTCTTTGGCTCAAGGGGACCAGATACCGATAATCCACCACTGTACACACCGCCGCCGTCTAGGTCAACAGTTAGTTAGCGGGTAAGCAGCACAATGTTAATTGAACATCTATTGATTCATGAAGCGACCCCCCCACCCCCCACCATAACCCCCTGACCTCATTTGACTACACCAAGAATCTTGTGTTGTTCCAGTAAATGTGAACTCAAGAAGCAATGATGGAAAAAAAATCTGACTTTGCTTCCGAGAGTTGTCAATTTACCGTATATTGTGTCGACTCACAACAGATGTTATATAAAACACATTGAAATATTTTCCCTCTGTGCAATGACCGACTTGGAAGTCAAGTTTGCGATGATTTTTATCACATATTTTACAACACCATATGAGATGTAACCTCCTTGACCCCCCCCCCCCCCGCCCCACAAAAAAAAGACACGTCAAAAATGTAATATTAGCAATATTCCTTACGTGTTGTTGACTATCTGGAGGCGTTCTCCCTTTCTGAACGAGAGATCGGAAGCCGTTCGAGACTCGTAGTCGTACAATGCCACGAAGGTTGTTATGCCTCCTGTGTGGAGAGGAAACATTCTTGAGTGTATTACAGATATTCTTGAGGATGTACAATTAAGATGTCAGCATTCCTCACAACTGTTCACTTCAGCAAGCAACCATAAATTAACTTGCATGCTTTGCTTGTGCTTTGCCTTTCTGATGATAGTTACTTCAAAAGGTCGCCCGTACACACGAGCATTTCTCAAAGTTAAAGTACTGTTCATCTTTTTTAATATTACGGTTTGTATGTAATGTACTAGGGCAGTTAAAGTTACTTAAAATGTCTCCTGTACAGTCAGTATTTTATGATGGAAACGGGTTGACTCGGGAATGTTTTTTTCCCTTTTCCATGATTTCCTAAGGAAACACTCGACAAACATCCCAGAATGAACTGCAATCGATATTAAAACACAAAACAGACCACTAAAAAGAGGAAGACTGCAGTTTTGAGCAAAGGCGTCTCACCCGCGAGTGTGATTCTGCTTGAAGAGGAATCATGACTACTGTTTTCCACGCCGCCAAACAAGGCGAGTTCGGCCTTAGTACTCATGGAATGGTTGCCACCGAGGATGCCCTCCACAGTGGTGCTACGACTGGGAGTTGAGGACTGCTGAGCCGAGTTCAGGTGGTGGCCGCCGGCCCCGCCTCCGGAGCTGAGGTTGGTATCGAGGCTGATGGTGCGTGGACCCGACTCCTTGGGCTTACTTTTGGATCCCCCCATTGTGAGGCCTAGAGGGCATTGAAAGACAGGAGGGGCGTGGGGTGGGGGGATTGGAGGGTGGGAGTAAAATGAAGTGACAATTGAAAAATATGCAAGCCACTATAGAACATGAAGTTTTAACCCTTTCAGGTACGTCGGTTACTACAATGGACAGCTTATCATGTTATCGGGTTACAGGATGCATGAAAGGGTTAAATGAGTTGTTACCATCAAGGTTGCCTTGGACCCGCATTTTAGCCTAGTCACTAAGTGGCGACCCACTTTAACTGATGCAAGTGTATTTTTTTTTTTCAATACATAGTCTTTGACATAAATACCGTCTACCGTCGCCAACGGTTGCAATTGTTCACCCCTCACTGGGATCGGGGCTTTGGAACCACCGGTCATACCGGAGGCGATTAATGCTCATGAATACTGTACACCTGAAATGCAGAAGTCTTTCTTAAATTAGTCGTGTCTATCTGTCATGTGGTTAGGACCACGCCATGATTGACAGCTTGACTGAAATCGGTGGTTTTCTTCTATTCCTGAAAAGATTAAAGAAGCCTGGATGAAAATTGTGACTGGTCGAGAGGTGACAAGCCCCAAGTATTGATGTGGCCGGTGCAATACTTGCTAAGTTGTGTCAGATATCACCCTAATGACTGGGGTTTTTTGCTTTGAAATTACTACAACCTGAAAGGCAGAAAAAAAAAAAATAGAAATTTGGGCCATTTACAGGCTTTAGGGGTTTATGCTAGTCAGTATTTAACAAAAAAAAATGTCATGTGAAGAGTGGAATTTGGACCCAGAACCAGACAGGAGACGAAAATGGCAAAGTCAAAGCCTTTATATGCAAAAATTCAAAGGAAAAAAACGTTAACGTTCTGAAAATATGTAACTGAGTAACTCAAGCTTATATATAGAAAAACAAGCCCTGCCCTGTGTGATCAAATAAAGGACCAAAGTAACAAACAAAAAAAAATCAAGGAAATAAAAGAGCAAAATTCTGTCAAAGTCACAACACAAAATTTGTTTTAAAAGGTGTCATTTAGGGGTTTGTTAAAGAAAACAAAAAACAAGAGTTTTGGAGCATGAACAAACCTTGGTAAACAGTTCTCGAAATGAAAGTGTTTGAAAATGATACCGTAATCCTTTGTAAATCGGAAAGGAGTCATTTCTGAAAAGAGTAGAGGAGTGCACTTTGCAACCAAAACTACTACAATAGTTCAACACAGTTCTATTGAAGAGTTTGTGTTTCCAGCAACATGTTGCAAAGTGTACATCAATTACACTGCTGTGCTCAACAGAGTCGTAGCATTTAGAGATGTCAAACTTTAATTTCAGACAATTGCACTATGATGAAAGCTCTTCAAAAGATCATTTTCCATGAGATCTGAGGGGGGGTGGACTTTGCCGATTTTAAACTTCAATATCTGTGAACGTACCCTAAGAAGTGTGATAATGATGATAGATTACATCCTTAGACATCAGATACATCGACCACTTTGTGTTAGACATACTGTACAGCAACGGATAAGAAAAAAGAGAGTCATTAAACTGCATAGAGACAACAATAACCAAAACCTCTTTGCCAGAAAAGTTGAAAGTTTACATGCCAGTTGTGTGGGGGAAAATAACAGAGAGCGACGTAGGACATTGGCCGCATACCCAATATCAGCTGCTGCTCCTCACAATCAAAACACACACACACACACACACACACACACACACACACACGCACACGCACACGCACACGCGCACGCACACGCACACGCACACGCACACAACTGATCCATCCATTTTCTATACCGCTTATCATGCTTTTGACACGGAAGTCAGAGTTAACCGTGACACAATCAGTGACTCCAATTCAAATATTTGATTGTATCATTGATTAGACTCTCGGGAAAGCAAAAAAAAAAAAAAAAAAAAAACTAGAATGTCACTCAATACAGCAAAGACCTTCACCAAGGCCAAACTTACTTGGTTGATTATAAATTGAATGTTATGCATTTCATGGAACCTTGTGTTTTTCAATTTGGACGCTGAAGTAACAACAACGCTGAAATATATACTCGATCGGTTGCTCCAAAGTAAAGTCGGTCTAATTTTTTTGAGTGAAGGTCGACAGATTATGCTGGCTAATAAATACATAAGTTTAAAGGCTAATAATATAAATAACATGCAGATGAACGGTCCGTTTTGGCTCAGTGCCTATTTTTTTCCTTCCCATTATGCTTTATATAGCACTCGAGAAGGAGCTGTAATCACAGCTTAGTGTGGGAATATGATTACACTAAGCCAAAGCTGCGCAATGGCAGAAAAATATGACCACAGGGGGTTCTGCTATGAAAGGCTCATTTTCAGAGAAAGCTGATTTGGGAGCTGTAGTGACAAGTTGGCAGGGGTCAGAGTGCCCACAGGAAGCGCCAACATGCTCAGCCTGCCGAGCATTCCATGCATCACTTTCATTTCATCGTCGTGTCTGCGTCACTCGAGAAGCGCTTGTACTTGATGACCGGAAGTCTGAGTCGCATACGGGCTAATATAACGCAAAATGTGTACAATTAAGAACGTGAACGTTCAAATAAGCTTCCTTAAACCAAAGAAAAAACACTAAAGAAATATAAATGAATGATAAATTCTGGTGTTATTTTTATCAAATATTTATTCAGGTAAGGGCGGCCCGGTGGGCCAGTGGTTAGCGCGTTGACCTCACAGTGCAGAGGTACCCGGGTTCAATTCCAGCTCCAGCCTCCCTGTGTTGAGTTTGCATGTTCTCCCTGGGCCTGCGTGGGTTTTCTCCGGGTACTCCGGTTTCCTCCCACATTCCAAAAACATGCACAGCAGACTGAGTGAACACTCTAAATTGTCCCTAGGTGTGAGTGTGAGCGCGGATGGTTGCTCATCTGTGTGTGCCCTGCGATTGGCTGGCAACGGGTTCAGGGTGTCCCCCCCGCCTACTGCCCGAAGACAACTGGGATAGGCTCCACCCTTGTGAGAATAAGCGGATCGGAAATTGAATGAATGAAAGAAAATTCCAACCATGGAATCAATTATTAATACGTATTTCTATTACCGGTACTGTATTTTCAATGGGGAAAAACGGTTGCCAAATCCACAGACTGTATACAATGTTAGTGTTCGGTGTATACAGTATCTGACACCATAGTCTTTTCTTGGCGTTCCGTTTCCAACAGAGCCATTTCAGTTGAGAGCGGATGACTCACAATAAAGCTGTAGCTGGAGGGTTTTCTGCCTTGAATAGCAGGCAGGAAACAGAAATAAATGAAGACGAGCAATCTCGCATTTGGACAGAGCGGAAGCACGTGCGTCCGTTTGCTAATAAGGTTAGCCTCTTTCTGGGCTTGAAGAGAATGTTACAATGGAGAGAGGCCCGGGCTGCATGAAAATCTCTGTGGCAAGGCGTGGGGGTGTGTGGTTGCTTGTGTGGGGAGGGGTTTTCTTAATTATGCATAAGATCTGGCAAAGCGCTCCAAATCCTTGGAGTCTTCATGGCTTTGATTGAATACCAACAGCGGTCTTTTAGTAACGCTGCTGGGGTTCCTCCCTTATAAATGCTTTACTTGGAGATTCAACCTGGAAAAAAAACAAAAACACGAACAGCCTTATTCTGTTTTTTTTTTGGAATAAGAGCAGTGTTATGATCTGAGAGATTAAAAATTGACAGCTCTTATCATCAGTCACTGATGATCTTTGTGATGAAGAAGGGTTCCTCCTCAATTTGGAAAGATTCTTTTTCATCTATCGGGACATGAAAATTGGCCAAACTGGCTTCAGAAGTTGTTGTTGGGGGAGGGGGGCTGTATGTAGACTTGATGAGAAGATATTCCCTGCTGTGAGGATGAAAAAAAGTCAAGTCAGAGTGACAGATGGTGAAACGTGTGTGAAGAGGCAAGTTCGGGCTTGTATGCTGAGACCAAAACCACAACAGTATTCTTCACTTCTACATTGGTTTTGGTTGAATATTGGGTGACTTGTGTGTTTTGGCACCCACTGATTAATTGGACAACAATAATAAGAGGGAATGAATTCATCAAAAACCTGCATACGTTTTTTTCTTTTTTTTTCAGGGACTGTCTAAAGTTTCACATTTAAATGATTTGAACATTTTTTGGAGTACATTTCACGACTTCATTTTGGTCCTATTCACGGGATGGAGAAATAAACAAATTTACAAATTATGAGTCACAGTCGTGGCCAATTTTATACGAGCCGGGCTGCTAGCAAATAACAAATAAAAAGCAGAAGTTCAGCGAGAGTAGTTGGTCCATAACGCAGCCGTTATGGAAGTCCCGCTGTCGCTAGTTCAACAAGCAAATGAGCTTCCTCTAATGGCGAAATGAAGCGGCAATTGAAGTGAAGATAACGCTCTGGTTTCATTGCGTTTATTTACATAAGCGCACGTCATAAGTGGACTGGCCGAAGCGCAAACAGCAGACCTGTTTGTCGGCTTATTCTCGAAATGCAAACGGATGGGCTTACGTTCGCCTTTGGATCATTACATCCAAGGGAGACGCATCTGCTCCTTTTTAGCATTTATCTGTGCAGTGCTCTGCAACGGGCTGGCCAAAGTCATGGGGTTCACAGATTAGCAAGTCTGTACATGTGTGTGCGCGCATGTGATCCTTATGTCAGCCCACACTGCATGCATTCCTTCATCTTAATACCCTCCATGTAATTACAACACTACTAGTTCCATCCCGGGTCACCACCACCAATTCCCACATGATCCAAACGCTCTCGTTCCCATCCTGATTATTGCCATCCTTTTCCTTCGCCGACTGGCTAAACCCTTGCGACGACATTCCATTGGGGCCTGCAAACAAACACCATCTTTGCAATGACAAGACAGGATAGACCAGTCTGACCGTTGCGAGGACTTCTCTTTATCCCGTCTCAACGGCTTCACACAAGCGATGGTCCAAGTTAAATGTCACTATGTTCCCTTATTCTCCTCGTTGAACCAACCACAGGGACTCAGATGTGTTTGCACAACTAACATTTACTGTACACCCGCATAGCTTTCGGTATCACCTGTGCTGTAACAAAGGTTGAGTGTGTGTCAAATGTTCTTTTTGGTACACGACCTCTTCAACAGGCTGTGCAGTCAGTACCTTGACGTGCTTTTCTCAAGAACATCGAATAACTGCGTTAGTCTGATTCAAAGCGGACAGGTGAACACGTTTCTGTGACTGATATTGTATTACATTCCGTTTCTCATATGCTGCTTCCTCACTGCACAGCTGAGTGACTACTTGCGACGGGAGAACTCACATACCCTATGAGCTGTGGGAAAATACGAAAACCAAGCCACACAGAACACATCACTTGAAACCAGACATGCAAACAAACAAAAATGTTACAGGAGAACAATGGCCATATACTTCTCAGCCAGGATAAGTTGACATATTTTATCGGAGAGGAGACGGAGGGGAGCGAGACTAGTGCAGCCAACGGTAGACTGCGGTGTACAATTCTGCAGCATCCCAAAATAAGGAAAAAGAAAGCTAACGTTAGCATG